AGCATGACTGTCCCAGTGCAAAAAGCAAAGTCCATAAACGCATGTTTTGGTGAGTTTAGTGTGGAAGAACTTGACTGGCCCTCACAGAGCCCTTCAAACACCTTTGGAATGAACTAGAGCAGAGATTGCGAGCCAGGCCCTCTTGTCTAACATCACTGTCTGACCTCACAAATGCTCTTCTGGGTGAATTGGCAACAATTTTCATAGACACACTCCAAAATGTTGTAGAAAGCTTCCCAGAAGAGTGGAAGCTGTTATTGCTTCAAAGGGGGACCAACTCCATATTAATGTCTATGGATTTAGAATGGGATATCATAAAACCTCCTGTAGGTGTCCCAATACTTTTGTCCATATAGTGTATCATGGTGCACACAGCAAGCATTAGCAGCAAGTTTCTCTTTGTTTGTTTTTGCCACCTGCCATTATAGAAGCATCTACAAAAAGCAGTGGGGCATGATGATTGGTTGGTGGGGCACTGCCCCTCCAAATGACTCCCCAACACTGGGTCTGAAAGTAGGTTTCATGGAATACCTCGAACCCAATACTAACCCCTTGTAGTCAAAGAGTAAAGGTTCGTTTTTACTGCAGTCTTCAGTAAAAAAGTAAATAAAATGGTCACCAACATTCCTCCTAGAGATCTATATTCCTGCAGGTTTCACCTCCAACTTAAATCTAACACATCTTATACAACTTATCAAGGACTTCTTCAGGCAATAATTAGATGGATCAGGAGCTGAAGTCTGCAGAAAGGAAGATCTCCAGGAGAAGGGTTAGTGACCACTGTAGTACAATCAATGACCACCCAAGAATGAGAAACAAATGACAAGCAGACGCCTCAATACACTCTTATGTATTTTATTATATCAAAATACAAAAATTTTAGAGGGTTATTAGATGGAACGAAGCATTGGAAAATGTCAACTTAATAGAACCTGCCAAAATGTGCATATCTGGGCATCAGGTGATGTAAACAATGCTATTTTAACTGCTCCACATTACATTACCTCAATTGGACCATCTGAGACAGCATACAGACATAACAGCCTAGATCTACCACAACCTAACCTGCTTCTGGAAGCAGACCTCAGACAATGTGTTAGGATAGTTAGGATAGCATGTTTGGTTTTTAACGTGCTCATATGAAAAGAAACAAAAAAACAATGGGATGCTTCCCTTGTTGATATATATATAATGCCATTACTTTCTACCAGATTGATCCCTTTTAGTTACAATGCTGCTCCACAAAGTCCAAATGAGTAAAAAGAGTGGAGACCCACGACATGGTTAAGGTAATGTTATACAGATATGAGACACCATTTACATTTACTCCTAGCAGCAGGCATGAAGAAGACACACCAGGCACCAAATCGTACTGTCTTACTGAGCATGTGGTAGTATTTTGAAAGTCCCTGACCATACCGAGAAGTATTATTCAAGGACGAGGAGTTCGAGGCACACTGCACCGGAGTCGTATCAGTCGGTTTGGCTAGCAACATGTCACGATTTTCTTGGAGAGTGTTCACTTGTCTTAACAGCAGTGGAAGAAGAGTCAAACAATACAGCAGAATAATATTTTACATAAGGCTTTGGTACAGCACCATACTGTTCAAGAATAATACCTGAAATAAATCAGATTACCAAAACAAAAAAGCCTCAAATTAATGAAGTCATTCAGTCATTCAACCATATAAATCAGAGAAAAGAGAGAAAAGAAAGTAAGAACGGTCTATTATTTGTGTGTTTTGTAACACGTGAACAGTCTCAGTACACTGCATTTGAGGTGGAAAAACGATGAGCAACTTATGCAAAATAAAAGTCAGCCCAGAAACTGTCTACGAAAAAAATCTGTAAACAAAATTAAAAAACAAAAAAAAGACACGTACGACACAAATCAAATGCAGTTAGAAAACGCACGATTAACGCAGTTTTGACATATGCTTCCAATGAGCACTATCTCTACATATGAGGTTTAAATCTTAAAACAGTCATAAATTAGTGCATAATGTAGTAGTACATTCTAGATTCTCAGTGCTGGTAAACATGAAAAGCAATGAAAAAAAAATATAAAAAAACAACGCATGAGTGGACGAATGAAAGCTGAGCGTATGCAAAATTAGTTAGAAATGAAACATAAAAAAAGTTTGAAGAGTTTCACACAGCACAGTAAATAAGATCATTAATTATAAAAGAAAGCACAATAAGCGAATTCAGGCAAAGAGTTGATATGACAATTCCTGCGAATGAGCCCTCTTAAGAGTTAGTCTTTTTTTTAATCATAACAAGCAAAAAAAGGGGGCGTGTCTACATGTACAGTTTTAGTTATATTCTACAAGAGAGACGTATTAGCTCTGGTCTCCATGCACATACTGGAGGCAAAAAAAGAAAAGAAAGAACAAAAGAAGATTCCCATCAACTATCTGAAGAACGCCTGTTTTGGATGGACAGCGATACTGTCACCGTGTAGCAGTGTGACAGCCGTATCACGTCACTGTGTTTGTAAAAATCACTGTAAAAACATTAGTACTGTATTTGATTCTCCAGACTGCCCTTTGCTAGGTCCTGTCCCTGCTCCATGGAACATTTTAAATATACCCTGCTTACACTGAAAAGCATCAGCGCTTCGATTTGCTCCTTTTTTGGTTCTAAAGGTCAGCAAATCTTCGTCAATCTTTCTAGAAATTCCTTGTAGCTTCAAGCAATCCCCTGTGTTTAACGCTGAAGATGAAATGCCTCGAGCCTTGTTTTTTCCGTTTCTGTAGCGAGATATGCAGTGAGAATGCAGGTTCTGTCCTGTTAGAATGGTTTTATTATTGCTTACAACCCTACTCACTATGAAACCTGGACGAGAGGAACCACAATGGAGCTATAGTTGAGTTAGTTTAAGACAGAGGACTGTGCATGAATCGTTACGTGTTGACCTCTGAAAACACAGCACCACGAGAGTTCAAAAAGACATAGCACCAAGTCATAATGCGTACGATGTGCCTACATCCTCACACGGTTATTTCTAAGTAATGTAAACATGTGTATATTTCGTAGGACTTCTTCAGCGGCATGTTTTCTTAACATGAATGGACAAAAACGTTCAGCAAAAGATGGACTTTGTCCTTAAGTTGTCCTTAGCTTTTTCATTCAGCGGGCTAAAGGCAAGTAAATGTGGGCGCCGTACTGCGGCCTCCACCTTCTACACATGTAAAGCAGCTTCACAAACTCATACATAGTATAATACATGAGGGAAAACGACAGGGACTTGTGCAGTCTATCAGCAATAGCTGGAAAACGCTAGACTGTTTGAAAATGTTGTGAAAAAAAAAGGAAAATGTGGGCACCTACATTAGCTCTCATGCAAAAACACTTCTTTTACTCATATCGAACATACTTCTTCAAGAAGCTCTCTATGCATTCAGTTCTGGCTTTGCCTCAAAACTTCTGCGGTTGAGTGGTTAATTCCCTCTTCCATGATCACTGACTGTAATACTGCAGGGCTTCTTAAAAAAGGGATTAAATGGGAGAGTCAGTTCAAACAAACAGGTACATGAACAGTGAGCTTTTAAATAATACATCAGCAGGCTTTCAAATGACAAAAAACAGGTCAGTAGTTCTCAAACCAAACCATACATTCATCATCGGTTAGAGCTAAACTGACCCAGCGCAGAGGGTTAGCTGCAGGTCAGCAGCTGTTAGTGAGCTCCAGACACAATAAAGCATTTAAGAGATTAGAAACTGGTTAGCTGTACTCCAGTGACACAAACCTTCGCTGTGCCCTATGAACAGTTGCAGGATGGATGGAAAACCAAAGATTATGAGAATAATCCATGCTTTTTTCCCCCCTAAAAATCTCTGTCAAGCTACTTTTAGTAGTTCACTTTGTCAGGAATAAAGCGTTCTAGACAACTCGCGGTTACGTTTTCAAATGATTAGACTGATGTTAATATCTCATTGGTATATGTCGTGTTTTCATTTGTCTGCACAATATCTACAGTACTTCCTTGGTGTATATCTAATATAACCTATGAATTAATACTTGATTATCTCTATCAAACTGATTGAAACAGTTCAACATTACACTAACAATGCATTTCACGACTTCTAATTACATTTGTGCAAGGGTCACAATACTTACATTACTTGAATGTTTGAAAGTTACATTTGTAATCGTCATATCAAGACGGAGCAATTTGGAATAAAGAATGTCTAAAGGCACCCCTCCATGTTGAGCGTGTAGGTATGAACGCAAGGGCTAAGCAGAACCCGAGAGACATACAAATCACACCGTTCTGACATCAGGATTTGGCAAAAAGTGAATTGCTCCCAATTTTGAGGCGCTCTCTTTCAGAAGCTGATTCTGAAGCATACACCGAGGAAAACTCAGGGCAGCGTTTCATGACACACTCTGAGTTTCTTGTCTTAGAAATTAATGTCGTTCCCCAACCATCTCTAGGGTACAAAAGAGAATTGGAGGCGTGAGCATTAATTCAATCAAAAATCCTCTGGAAAAGGCAGTCTTTGAAATATCTCAAGAAACAAAATGACTAGCAGTCTAGAGTTAATGTCACCTTTAACATGCCAAAGATTTTTTTTTGTTCACTGTAACTACATGTTTTCTCCCAAAAAGTACAAAAGTATGTATTTTTTTTTGTATTCCTATGTTCAGTCCCCACATTGACTACTCAGTATATCAAAAAATAGCACTGATCGTCTGTGTTCGAAAATAAACTACAAATAAAAATGGGTTTACACTGAGTTTTGATATCGTAGAGAAAGTGGGCTAAAGCGACTATATTTAGCACATAAGAGCCCCCTCAGAAAGGTTTATGACGAAAGATCCAAATATAGCAGCAGGCCAGTATTGCATCGGGATCCAAAGACTTTGTTGTAGCTTACAATTTCTATGAGATTCTGTGCTTTGCATTGGATGACACTGACACATCTAAAAAAAGACATGGCAATTCAGCACTCTCTGGATCAATGCCTTGTCACTGGAATAAATAATACTAAATATTATTGGAGGTTTGCCAAAAACAGACAGCGGAGGCCTTTGAACTCATTATAAAACACTGTTAGCTTGCACAAATGATGGTCTACGTGCTATAATATGTGCCAGAATTGAATTTTTCTGAGGTATATTTCATAAGAGGAAGAAAAGAAACCCTGTGTTAATTACACATTTCTGAGGGACAGCTTAGAGCTCTTCAGGTTTCACAATATGCACAATAATTCAGACACTTCAGATTTAGCTCTGGACAAAAGCTAACTCTGCAAGGTCTTTAAGATAAGTAATGTAATACTGATTTCTCTTTTGAAAACTTTTTCTCTCCTCTTTGTCAACGCACGCATATGTTGTGCCAAAAGGAGGGGAGTAAATCTAAAGTTACTGTTTTAAGTCAATCAAAGACAATACTGACTGCATATCCACTTCGTTGCTGCTAATGGACACGATTCTCTCTGCAGGATTTAGACTGGTCAGAGCAGAGAGCCATAGTTTGGGGGGGTGGAGTTCACGCTGGCCAATAGGGCTTTCTGGTCTTCTCTTGGGGAAGACCAGCGCAGCATGGAAGATAAGTGGACTGTTTTTTTCCTCCTCTTCCTGGTGGGAGAGCTGATCACTTGTCTTTGCTGGGGTGCCTGAGATGCGTGGTGCTGCTGGGTCTGAGAGAAGGACACATCTAGAGACAGCAGTGCAAAGGAGAGAGAAGGATAACACTGAATAATACTGCCACAGCTGTGAAGACCAAACAAGACAAGTGCAATGAGAAGGAACATAATAATAAGAATAACAATAATGATATATCCTATTTAATAAGCAGCTTTGTAAAACAAGCTTTAAAGTGCTTTACAAGAAGATTAACTATAAACCTTCTATTAAGATTTAATCTTACATTAAATCCTGGACATTACATTTTAGAGAATGAAATTAGTACTTTTGTACTAAACGTGTTTTTCCACTGCAAAGGCATTTGAATAATCACTCCAGACACGTCTTCTCTGATTTTGTAAAGCAAAAGTAAATGCAGATGAATGAGCATGAGTGATTTTATTTGACAATTAAAAAGCATGAGAGATTTTCTAAGTGAAAATAAGTTAAAATCCTCTACAGAGAACACATTTTAATATTTTAGTGCACAAGTTCTATTTTTTGTTGAGCTTAAGTTTTATGTTTTTATTTTTTTTCCCCAATATGTTTAATTCAGCAAATAAACAGTAACTGTGTGTTCTCTGTAGAGGATATGGACTTATTTTCACTTACAAAATCAACAAAATACACATCTGACTGGGGTGCCAAAAGTTTTGCACATAACTGTATATAGACAATGTATGAGGTGTTGATAAAAAGTTTTAAAGGTGTAATTTAAACCGTTAAAAATAACTACTGAGCTGCCCTCTCTCTGCATTGCTTTTTTCCATGGTGATTGAGCCACTGGCAGAAACAATTAGATGATTAGAGGACATTTCAGGTATTAGAGCAGGAGGAGCAGACCATCGAATCTCACTGTATGCGGATGACATTTTGTTGTATATGGCCCACCCAGAAAAATCTATTCCATCTATAATGAAGTGTATTTCAGAATACAGTAAATTTTCTGGTTATAAGATCAATTTTTCAAAATCATTAGCTTTACCTTTAAATATATCCCTTAACACACCTTGGGTAGTTGCATCCCCCTTTCAATTAGCGTTAGAGGGTTTTAAATATTTGGGTGTTCATATCACCCCAGACCTTAATAACCTTATTGACAAAAATTACCTTCCACTTATTAATAATATAAAACATGATCTTACATTATGGAACTTTCTCCCTATTTCCTTATTTGGCAGGGTAAACATAATAAGAATGAATATCCTCCCTCGCTTACTCTATTTATTTCAGTCAATCCCTTGCCATTTATCCACAATTTTCTTCAAGGATCTAGAGAAAAGTTTCTCAAAATTTATATGGAATAATAAAAGGCCAAGACTTAAATTTTCTAGATGGTGCTTGTGTGCCTAATATGCAGTTGTATTATTGGTCATCTCAAATAAAGCATATGATCAGCTGGTGTACAAATAGGTTGGATTCTCGCTGGGTCTCTATGGAAACAGGGGCATGTAGCCCTATTCCTCTTGATTGCTTACCGTTTATTAATGATGCTGCAAAGGTGAGGTGTGTCTCTGAGAATTTTATTTTACACAATACCCTTATGGCCTGGACAGATGTTAAGAAATATCTTAAGATTCCTCATTGTCTTTCACTACTCTCCCCTCTGGCCCACAACCCAGATTTACCTTCTCAGCTGAGTAACTCTGGACTCTCAGCTTGGCTTAACAGAGGGATCAAAAACATTTCTTATATGTTTTCTGGTAGTTTGCTCAAATCGTTTACACAACTGCAAGAAGAATATGAGTTACCTAGGTCAGATTTTTTCAAATATCTTCAGATTCGTCACCTGATCACCTCAGCCATTAAGGATGGGAGATTTAGAAAGGAATTAACCGATCTTGAAGTGTTGCTAGCTAAGAAGGACCAGACTAGAGGATTGATTTCACTAATTCATGGCATTTTGCTAAAGAGTGTTAAACCATCGTCAGACACTCTGAGGAGAATTTGGGAAAGGGACTTAGACCAACCTATCTCAGAAGAGGACTGGTGCAATATTTGTAAAGGTCTGTTTCCCAGGTGTACCTCATCTGGTGTTCACGAGCTTAACTTTAAATTCAGGAATAGGATATACTTTACACCTGTTCGCCTACAGAAGATGTTTCCAGACAGAACTAATTTGTGTTTTAAATGTAAAACTGAAAAAGGAACGTTTTTTCATGCCTTTTGGCAGTGTAAAAAAATTGGCATTTTCTGGGATAGAGTACACATCACGGTAGAAAATATCCTTCACACACAATTTCAGAAATCCCCTGCCCTGTATCTTTTGGGAATAGGAGCAGAACATATTTTTGATACTGATGGCAAATTTTTGTTTCTAATTTTTGTTTTCATTTCTGGCAAAAAAATGTATCCTAATTCGATGGGCCAGCCCCTCTTCACCATCTATTGAGCAGTGGCTTTCCCAAGCTGCAACTCTGCTTCCCCTGGAAAAACTGACCTACGATCTACGTCACCAGACGGACAAATTCTGGAAACTTTGGGTCCCACTGTGGACTTACATAGAAAATCTTTCTTAAAATCCTATGTATGTTGGCCTGCTGTGTGAGATTTAAATGTATAATTGTTAATACTGAATAGAGTGCAATAAAAAACAAACAAAAAAAAAAAATAACTACTGAGTAACAAATTGTTAAATATTTTGGTGTATTGCTTTTATGCCCCTGAAACTACTAAAATGCCACTGTAGTATCTTATATTCATTATGAATGTGAAGATTTTTGAATATGCTTCAATACGCATATTGCAAATGTCCCTGTGCTGTCCTGCCATGCAAAATATAGCATAAACAAACATGTAACATTATTAACCAGAAAATAAAGAAGCAAGGTTAAAGCAACTTTCAGTTCATTGCTCAACACACCAAACCACGAGTCTAACAACAACCACTGTTTAACGTTAAAGAGAGCTAACTGGGATTAGGTTGTGGTGCAAGTGCTAGCTTAGTTAGCAGGCTGACAGCTCAACATACCACAGAATAGATTAGATTCTGCCTGTCTGCTTCCTCAGATTTGAGTCCTTATCTTTCAAACTGAACCTGGGTGTGGATAACAGCAAACTACAACAATAGCAATCCAATTAGCTTTTTCAGAGTTGCCAACTATCACTTTTTGGCATGAGATTCAAGCTTTTGGGCTTTTTCTTACTCTTACGGTAGTGAAAGCCTATTGTGAAGGGCTGTTTTGTCCATTATGGGCACTGGGGAGCCACCCTACCATAAGCAAATAAACAAGAAATACTCATATTGAAATATGTAACTCTTTTCTACCAAATTCTTGAGTTATTTGTTTGATATACATTTAAGTTTTTGTTTGATAAATATAGGTGAAGCTGGCTGGAGGGTCAGGAAAATGAATGCCAGTTTATAAATCATATTTACAGCTGTAGTAACAGTCTCTGTGCTGTAGAGTGCCTAATGCTGCACTGACTCTGTTACTGAACAGGCTGGTTGTGATAGCATTCAGATGGTCTTTATCTCTAGGCTGATATGCTGATTACATGCGCTGTTCTGTCCAGCTGTCCTGTCACGTGTTTTCATTTGTCTGGCTTATACCTCACACTCACTGAAGTTTAGCAGGATTAAGTTTCTCTAAAATGGAACGCTCACATGGCTTGTGTGCGCATCATTAGAATGGATGAACTTGCATAACATATAATATGGAAAACAATATGAGTTATGATGAGGAGTATTCATATCATCAGGTAAGTTGTGTGTCCATAAGACAAGAAATGGCAGTGGTTCTATGGACGAGTGGAAGTAGTATCAAGCTGGGCCTACATTACCCAATGTTTTAGCCAGATTTTAACCCTGATTTGTCCCTTCCAACAAATGTTCGCAATCTAAAATGATTTTCCGGGTTGTGAGCTTGACTGGAAGCGACTGATAGATCCGATGATCTGGTAGCGTGAAGGAGAAACAAGTCAATCTTTGGCCTTCCGATCCCATATTTTCAAACATGTTTGATTTCTAACATGATTGATTTCTAGTGCGGGTCTCGCACTATGATGTGGTCAGCGATGTAACTGAATGAGAGATTCAGGCAACAGCTACTGAGAGAGCTAGGAGAAAGAGGAAAAAGGTGAAGAGACCCGCCTGCATGTGAGCAGTGGGACGTGGAGACAGAGGAGTTGCTTGTTGAGTTCAAGGGAAATAATAAACTCTCTTTGCAATTCCACGTCAGCTGCCAGTTTACAGTAAAACACAGAGTGACTCAAATAGATTCATCCGATTTCAAAGCGCCAGATTTTTACAACCGTGAGGCGCCTAGGAACCAATCACATACCAATTGAAAGAGGTGGTCATAGAGTTTCTGACTGTCACCGGAAGATGGCTCCCCTCAGTCTGTGAGGAGATGGTGACCCCAGAGCAGAAATCGTTTTGCGTTCTCCACTTCAATAAGAGTGAATTCGTCATAGCTGTGCAACGTGATTTTCATCAGCAGTGAACCTTCGCCAGCTCAGAGCGTTCGTCGTTGGTTCCACAACACTGGATGATCTACGAAATCGCATTGAAAGAGCCATATACAGTGACACCCGACATGCTCAATCGAGAGTGGGATGAATTTGACTATGGTGTTGATGTTGTCCGTACAGCTAGAGGAGGTTCATACTGAGCACTTGTAAAATTACATAATAAACTTTATGCTCAACTAAACCATTTACAATTTACAGCATTGTTCTGCAATGATTAAATGAAATGAAATGAAATGAAATGAAATAAATCATTTTGAAATCAGATGAATCATTTTTGAATCACCCTGTATTTCTCTAGCTTTGACTGTGACATCTGCTTTTCAACCCCATATTCATCCCCAGTTTGCATTTTCGCTATATTTCTTGTGTGCGCATTAAAGCAGAAACAAGTCTGGTCCAGTTTAGCTTTGTTTGTATCATATCTTAACAGGGGAGATGTGGGATGTGGGAGTCAAAATGTATATAAATTAGGACTGACTAATGCTCTTCTTTTACAGCACATTTGCAGTTCAGGCTTGCTGCTTGCAAGGCGTTGTTCCCGGTTTCAAACTGGCTTCATATATGCTGCCTGAGGAGAAGGTTATTGCAGAATCTCTGATTGTAAGAATGAAGAATATACAGCATACACTGAGTGAGTTTTTTTTTACGTCAGCGCGGTCAGCGAGCAGTAAGCGAGAAATAGAAAAACTATAGCAGAATGGCTACACTTCCTTCCACTCACTTCAATCTGACAGCACCAGAGGCAATATATTTACATTTACAGTGACGTTATACATGAGTGCTAATGAGAAACACATGAGAAAGATATGTTTACAGTAGCTAGTTAACGAGAAAACAGCCACCGAAATGGCCCCCTGATGTGCTCACAGCAATTAAGTGAATACATTTAAACAAGAATCAGACAAAAACATGGCTAGAATGTTTTGCAGTTTTGAAACTGCCTGTATTCCTTCACGCAAGCCTTCAGTTGATTTAAGAAATTAATAAATACAACCTCAAAACAAGCATCTGGGCTGACTGACAATGTGCCATTTAGGCAAAGAAGTTTGAAATTCACTCAAACTTCAATCTACGCAATGATGCTATTAATACAAGCCACTGTTGCTGCTCCAAAACAACCCGTAACGTTATCTTATGTGGAAAAACCAACCTGTTCTTTTCTTGGCTTTGGAGTTGTTGTTGTTGTTGGCCGCTACTTTCTTGGCTTTTTTAATACAATGAAAAATCAGTGCTTCGAAGCTCTCAGACCCTGCAGGGACTCTCACTGCACCTAGAGGTTCCCTAAAAGACAGGCAGGCAGAGGCAAAACGAGCTGCATTACTTTACACAGCCACCAGAGCGCGCCACCCTCCCCACATCTGTTACTGAGTTAAAGTGCCCTCTGGGACAGTGTTACACACTGACACAGAGATGCTTAATAATTACACAATTTACACAAGAAACCTCATTGAGTAACAAGGTAACATCACATCAACCATGATTCAACTTCATAAGCTGTATTACCTGTTAGAGATACTGATTCTGTGAATGATTCGTTTGTAATTTCTCTACCCACCAAATGAAAATACAAATAAAACAAAAACAAATTTAAAAATAAGCATACAAACAAAACAACAAATACCATAATAGTTTTCACTCAGATTGTCCTACAGAATTCATTCCGGTTAAGTTAGTTTTTAGTTGGGTCAGTTTTCAATTTTCTTCTCATTGAGTCTTCAGAGGGTCAGTAAATGAACATTAGCATTGTTTACCTCGTGCTGTAAGCTCCTGTCAAGTTGTAAGCACTCTCCCTTGTATAATAAAAAAGAAAAACTAGTCAAAATCAGCCGTTGCCCAGCGATCATATCAACGGGCAGCAATTCCTACGTGAGCTCCAGCACAAGTCAGGCTTTCCTGCAAAAGCGTTCCCCTTTTGTTTGTTTGTTTTTGTATCATAAATGCCATCCCTCTATTATGACACGGAGATCATGAAAACTGAAAAAATCCACATGGAAGAGTCAGCCAACAACTCATGGGTTTCACAAGGCATAGAAACACAAAGCGTTTATAGACAGTCTCCCCTGCTGCTGAGGCTGTGGAGAGAGAAAGCGAAAGGCATTAGTAGAGGGGGGAGACATGGCCGAGCACTACAGTCCGTCACATCAAACACACTCCGGTTACCATGAATACAGTGTACAGTGGCTTCACCATGCTGACAGGAGAAGAGATGGCAGGGAGGGGGGGAAGAATGGCGGTAAAGAACGGTCACATGAAAGAAAGAAACGAAACCACGGGGACGACAAATGCGACAAAAATTTTAGTTCAAGAGTCGCCATTACTGATTCGGCATCGAGGAAGAGTACTTAGAGAAGCATGCATGATATTTTTGGACATGGAACAAAAGTTTAAAGGGGAATATGCAAGTCTTCTGCTAAAATATCAAGTACCATCTTAGCATATCCTCATTTTTGGCTCAAAAAGGACCCAATTCTGGTTTATTATTTTGCCATAAAAATTTACAAGTTAATGTTAAATTCTTTCAGCACTTTCATGAATATTGTATTCATTTTTTAAATCTGTCCAATGTGTGATTTGCCAAAAAAAAAAAAAAATCAATATAACGTCATTCCCCTTTAAATGAGAATGATTTAAGACCCCGCCTGCTAACCCCTCCCCTTTCAGACATGGATTCAACCCTTACCTATTATGGTGTAGAGGACCTGGTCACAACAATGCTGCCCAGATAGCTGAGATCAATCAAAAACAAAGAAGGTAAGACTACCAGAGCCTAAAGAGGACAAAAAAGGACAAAAGGAAGAAAAAAAAAAAACAGCCGTCGCTACTCTAGATGAGAATGGACATTGCGAGAGACGAGTGCAGGCTCATCCCTGGCAATGAAGGCCGCCTAAGAAGGCCACCCCGATGGAGAAAGCCTTGAGTCAGTGGGAGTGCGAGACAGAGAGAGAGAAATGGAAGGAATGAGCTGGAAAGGGTGAGTGAGGTGGTCAGCCCACAAAAGAGGACAAAGAGTCATGAGGTCACCATGAATGCATTACCAAAACACTGAACCATTCAAAACACTAAAACCTAAAAATGTCACTACTGATACCAATGTTACACATACACAGACTTTCAAAAGAAAAGAAAAAAGTAAAGAAAAATTCTGCAACAGAAAAAGCATCCTGTATAATAATAATTTAAGAAAAACTTGCATATGTATATTTCTGTATATTTTTTGTAGTCAAAATTGGCAAAACGGAGAAGGTATTGCTTTTGCAGACTAGTTGGTGAAAAATCCTTGTCATATTTTTGGAGTCTTCCGATGGTACGGTACACCTACCCTGGCGAGGGCTCTGAGGGCAGCATCTCCTCATCCGTCCTCCTCTGAGACGGCAGCTGGCCGAAAGCATTGCTGCTCTCCGTTGGGGGTGAGGGGGACTGGGAGGGGTAGCTGGCCGCTGTGGTGGCAAAGGCCATGTGGGCGTGGTAGGCAGGGCCAGGCCGGCGGCCGGTGCCCAGGCCCTGGGTGGGAGAGGTGGCAGGGGAAGAGGACAGGGACCTCCGGGAGAACGAGACGCTGGCGGGGTGGCGGGAGGCGCTCTCGGGCATCTCCTGCGAGCGCGAGTGGCGAAGGATGCTGGGCCGGGGTGGTGGGCGCACCAGGATGTCCGGCGAGCCGGCGCGGGAGCTGGGAGGGGTCTGGGTGAGGGGCGAGAGGCGCGACGGCTGCAGCACCACCTGCTGCTGCAGGCCCAGATCCAGGCGGCGCGCCCTCGCCCTGGGGCTGAGCCAGGGGGCCGGCTCGGGCCGCCAGCCGTCCGAGCTCTCGCTGCGCAGCGTGCTGGGGCTCCCGGGGTAAGGCAACACCGGTACGCCCATGCCGTGGGCAGTGTGTCTCAACTGCCCCAGACTCTGGGCCTGTTGCATAGTTACATGCGTGGCTGCGAGGCCCTGAGGAGGAGGAGGAGGAGGAGGGAACTCACCGGGCGATCGGCTCGGGTGGGCCCGGGGAGCCTCCAGCTGCAGGAAAGCCGAGCTGGAGGGGGGCTGAGACGGGGCGCTGAGTGCACGACTATGCGAGGAGAAGTATGGTGGTGGCTCAGGGAGGTCCCGGTGGAGATGAGAGGGATGGTGGGGTGGGAGAGTGAGCCGGGCACCCTCCTGACCCAGAAAGGGGAAGTCAGGAGGCTGCCAGGTCTCGGTGGAGCGAGAGGAGGGAGGGCTGTGCGCCAGCGGGAGGGCGTGGCCAGAGGCGCCATACTGCGGGATCCTCAGCCCCTCCCTCTCCTCGGGGATGGCGGGATGGCGGAAGGGCCCCTCAGGGGGGTATGGGGGTGAGGAGGAGGACATGGCGGAGCTGCGCGGGCTGACATCGGGCATGTAGAACGGAGGATGGAGCTCCACCTCAGCGCCGCTACCTAGATAGCCGTAGAAAGGGCCTGGGGGGAAGACCCTGTGAAAGTGGGAGACCCGGCTCTGCCCTGCGGCCTGAAGCCGACTACCCTCCAAGATGCTCATACCTTCCATGGGCCTCTGGAACCGGGGACTGTAGGCTGGGGGCTGCATGTAGGACTCCTGGCTGGAGGACACAGGGGATATCTGGGGCCTGAGCGTGGCCATGACTGGGGGAAGGGGCCCGGGGTCGTCATTCTCCTCGTCTGACTGCCGGAACTCAGGGTATAAGTCCGACTCCTCGACGAAGGGGAAGCCCTCAATGCGCCGGGACTTCAGGGGGGTCTCGCCATCCGTCGGCTCCATCACGAAGCGCCCATCTGGCCCGCGGCTTATCAGCTCGATGGGTGTGGTGACCTCAGCCTCGTGCTTGGACACGCTGTACTTCTTGCCCGTTATTGCTCGCTTGGTTCTCTTGTACAGAGAGAGCTCCTTCTCTTTCCTTGGGCTTGGCAGCTTCTTCACATAAAGACCAGGCGCGCCCACGCTGGCCAAGGATGGGGGCCGGGAGGAGGCAATGCTTTCTGGACTGATTTTCCCAGAGGACAGCCTGCCGATCAGAGCAAACAAGGTACTTAGCATGGGGCACTCTTAGGACTACAACATAAGGAAATAGAGGCAGAAGGTATTGACTCATGTTCTCTTCTGAAAAATCAAAGCTCTGGAGTGGGCTTAGTGATCTGAAGCACATAATGGAACCCCCAAACCTCTCTTTAACATTGATGACAAACAAAGTAAAACCACACATTTGACCTTTATTTATAGGTCACTTGGACTGAGGATGAAAGAACACATAGTGTTATGGTACACCATGATGGGGACAACAGAATGAGACCAGGAGACAAAAATCATCGGAAACAGTCTGAGCTAATAGATGCTAACATTTTGTCAGCTCTACAGCTAATCTTCACACACAACTGCTGCGTTTAATATTCAAGAACCGTCCACCCCAAGATCATTAAAAAAATCAAAGCATAAGAAGACATAGGAGCAGCGGTGTATTATCTCCCCAAAGGGGCTTCGAACCAATGTAGCTCCGCACCACAAAACAGAAAACATGCAGCTAAGGCAGCTAGGCGCGGCCAGCGCCATCTGCTGAAAAAGGGGTGCAGGTGCAGGCACTCACTGAGGGCTGGTGGATGGGGGCCTGTAGCTGCTCCTGTCTGGCTCTTCCCAGTAGGGCTCAATGCCAGGCAAGGGGGTAAGAGGAGGCCTGCGGTGAGAGACACAATAGAGAGGGGGCAAGAGGTGGCCGTCAGACCTGACCAGGCTTCCAAACAGCGATGCGGAGATGGATGGAGATGGATGGGAGCATGGGGCTAAAACTACAAGGACCGTCATGAAATCGAGATGGGAGAATGACTTTCCCGTTTGGGGGGTTTCAAAAAATGCCATTTGCAGCCTTCTCCTCCAATGAAGTCCCCCCCCATGAACTTCAATATGGTGTCTGGATGTGGAGGTGACCCGCTGCCATGCCTGAACTGATCGATTCTCAGGAGCTGATGCATAAGCGTCAGGTTGATCGTGTGTTCTGCTGCTACTGATAAGGTTCAGGCCCCACCTGAGCAGACTATAAAGAAGCTGCATAAGATCGCTGGTAATGACAAATCAATGCATCTCGCTGCCAAAAAGCAGAGGTAAGCATAGATGCATTTATAGCAGCCGCTCAGTTGACCGCTCAAATCCCCCTCCATGCGTCCCTCATGGTAAGAGGGCAGCTGCTACGGTCAGCCATTTGGTCTAACTCCTCTGTACATGCATTAACGCCTTTGTTCTCTCTTTCTCACGCATAAGCACACACCCATACGCACATACACACACAGTGTGCTGGAGGGACCCTGGGAATCAACAGATCTGTTGCAATGCAAAGTATGATGAATGTTACCATGCATCAATACTTACGGTGACTCAACACTTTTCCTGGTATGGGTTATCGACAGAGGAGGATCTAGAGACACAGATGACAGAACACAAGCATGATTACACACCCTTGGATTAAGAACGCTCCAGTTAGCAACGGCTTCTTATGGTCGATACGAGTACATTACGACACGCTGTGTATCATGTGGTTCTTAGAGGCAAGACCCACCTCGTTTGCGCTTCAGCTTGCGACGGTGCTGCTTGTTGACAAAGCAGGCGGCCAGGGTACTGAAAAGGACAGCAGCGGCCAGGAAGCAGATGGTAGCCACGATACCGGCCACCACTGGCCTGGCCAGTCCTTCATCAGATATCTCTGTGGGAGGGAAGGGGTCTGAGAGAGGAGACACACTCCAGAGCATGAAATAAAATGGAAGCATGGTGGACAACTAGCATGCAGTTATTCACAGAGCAGCCAACAGAGCATCTATGTTATTTCACTGCAACAATCTACTGCAATTGTGGATGTCAGTGGCGTAACTGGGATCTTCTAATGCAACAAAAAGTAAATAGGAGCTGAAATGTGAAATTACAATGTAATTTGCTTGTTTATTCGTTCTTATTGCTCTGTCTAATGCAGGCTAATGGTTGAGTAGATTATTAAGGTATCGTACCTAACCACAAGTCATGGGTGTAAAACTAATAATAAGGGGCAATACTGACTCTATGGCGATTGTCCTGCCTGCACTGCCAATAGCTACAGAAAGTCTGGCTTGAACCCAAATACAAACAGAGAATTTGCTGTCCTAACCTAAACCTAACCTGACCAGAACGTCTTGTTTTGAATCAGAAACTGACACAAGCACAAAAAATTCTGTATGAAATTGACCCAAACTGACCCCTCTTGACAGGATAGTGCCGGTTACTGTGTAGTGACAATAATAGCATCATTAGATAACTAGATAGTCCAAAATTAGGTTTAAATCCAGCTTTAAAGAATTTATTCATTAAGCAGTGCTTTTGAACAATGTTCCAGATGTGTGGTTAAATGTTTAGTGTGCAGTGCAGTGCTGATCTGGCATGTTGTTAGCCTTCACCTGTTCAATCCTAAAGCTTTATTTCTTTACATAGAACACATTACATATAATATATTGAACATACAACATTAAAAATACTTTTGGCCAAACAGATTATGCATCCATTTGGCTGCATTAAACTGTACATCTTCTGAATCGATTTGCTATTTATTTCCCACATGTCCATTTTCTCACAAGCATGGGCCTCACGGACCTTTCAGCAACACGTGTGGGTGACTCCAGCATGCAGTATAAAAAAAAACTTTAAGTCAGTAAAAGTACGGTGGAAAAATAAAGTAAGGTGAAAAACAGATCAGGGATAAATACATGGTAAAATCTGTTCAAAGTGGGGTTGTTTGAACGTGAAATGTGAACCAGAGCCTGACATATATGTGGAAAACGACATTCAAATGTGACTAACAAATCGGACAAATATTTCAATCAGATAGCTACGCCTACTTGACGTCCACAGGCATAGTATGGAGAAGAAGCGCACTATCTATTATGATCAGCAGGGGGCATTGAAGCTCCACATGGTTAAAGCAGTGAAATCATGGGGTCTAAAATAGCTTCTTCTAATTCTTACCTGTGCTTGACACTCCCACTACATTACTGCTTTCACTAATGAGATCATCCATGACAGCCAGGGCACGGAATTCATACCACGAGTCCTGGAGGAAGAGGGGTGGGCAAATACATTAAAAGTGGGTTAACAGGATGTAGGTCAAAGTGACTAAAGCTTAAATAAATGTAATATTACAATTCCATCCATCACACAAATGAGTTACCAGTGAGCAAACTGCTGATGTTTCATTGTTCTGCGTAAGGAGATGATGAAGTCCATGAAGAAAAAAGACTATTTATAACACAAAATATAGGTTCTCATTCTGGTTGCTGGACGTTTTTGTCCTTTCCCTGCTCTAATAAAGCTGTTTCAGCCTATTAAGTAATTATAAAGTCTGTCTTGATAAGGTGTAGCTGTCTTTCAGAAAGGAAAAAGTGAGCCATACAGGTTTCTTAAACATCTACAGTATTTACAGGATGTGCCTTTTGCATGAGCAAAAGTGTCAATTTTCTGAAATCTTATTGAGCCAAGCAGGAATACACAGGTGTGCCTTAAACTATCTTACCGGAATGAGGTCTCTAGCCATGATCTCAGTCTCATCTGCAGGAATCAAGTCATCGAGCACCTCCCACCTTTCCCCCAGACGGAACTCAATGATGTAGCGGTCTATTGGTGAAGTGTGGTTGGCCGGAGGGAGCCATGTCAACAGTACACCCTGCTGCGTCCGGTTGGCTGTGAGGCACCGTGGTGGGGTAAGAAGCACCAGTGGTTCCGGGGTACTTACAGGGTACACTGGACGGAATGCACACAACAGGCATAGAAGTCTTTCTTAAATCAATATGATGAGAGAATAGGAGTGGGCGATATGGCGATATCATTATCATGATGAATAATGCCACACTAAATTTTTCTGAGTATGTCATGCGTGCGGTTTCAGTGTCTTAGCTCAAGCAAATATTAAGATTTTTGCCTAGCGTAAGCAATAATTCGGTCACAGACAAAATTCACAAATCATAAAAGAATTCTTTGAGTTAATAATCTGAATATAAATGTTTAATGTAACACGCTCCATGGTGGCGCATTTGTGCCTTTGCAACCAAAGTTCAAAGTCAGAAATTTTAGTTCAAAATCTCAAATTATCTCAAAACGTGACCACTGCTATGATAAAAGGCTTCAGCAGAATGTTGTCATTTTCCTTCATCAAAGATCTATCGCCAAAAAATCTGTGGCATATAATCTGGCCTACAGTACAATGAATTTGGCCAAGATTTCACTTGCAGCATCTCCTGCTGTATGACACAAAAACAAGACAGTTACTATCCCATCCAGAGCAAAAATGTATGCACAACAATTTCTTTACATCTAAAGTATATGTGCAATATATACCAATATATGTGGCGTCTTAGCACCAATACAACAAATGTTGACAAATATATATATACATAAATTTCTTTACGTTCAAAATAGCTGTGCAAGATATACCAATATATGCAATGTCTTAGCACCTGAATGACAAATGTAGAAAAATATATGTACATATAATTCTTCATATCCAAAATATATGTGTGCAATATATACCAATACATGTGATAACACCAAATTGACATATATAGAAAAATACATGTATATATTTTGGATGTGAAAAAATATGTACATATTCAATTTATGTGTAAACATACGTACATGTTCAATTCAACATATAAGCTGTTTAGCAACAAAATTTTAAACAAATAATATGTACATATATTTCATCATATCCAAAATATATGTGCCACACTGTGTATCTACGTAAGTCTATCTAAAAGACAATGAAATGGTAAATTATGTTGTCAGAGACATTAAGGGAGTTTTTTTATTTATTTTCCTTCCTTAAGAGTCTTGCTTGGTAATCAAGGTTAGTTGGAACCTTGACTGAAGCTATCAAGTAAAAATCAGGCTGTAAAAATCAGCCCTTATTATTATTTTTTAAATTAGCCTACACTCTCTTTTAAATAAATGATGCTCAATTTGTGTATGCCAATAAATAAAACTATTTCTTGACAACATTCACAGTTACTAGTGCAGCATTACTAGTTATCAGTGCAGTGGTTCAGACAGGATCTTGTGTCATTTTATTGCATTTAAATATATACCAATTATATGCCAATGTGTTGACATATATATGAATATATTAGAATATATCTGAGAATGTATGTATTGGTGTCAATTTCTAATATGTACATATATGTCAGACACATATATAAATATATATTGTTTGCATTTGAGATTGCACAGACTACAGGGGCTTCAAGTTTCTCTGGAATACATGTTTGCTAAATGTAAAGGCATCTTCAGTTCTGTCAGATTCATGACATGTTTTTAAGAACACTTAGTGAATGAGGCCCATTGCACTCATAGTTTGTGATAGAAGAACTTTAAAGAAATATCATGCTATTGTCACTGTCAGACCAAAACCGAACGTAAGGAGTTTAAACCTCAAGCAATTTTGGACCATTTCTGTTCATCTATTCATCATGAAAGTTTCACACAACGTAAAGCTGAGGGTTTCAAATGGAGATGCAAGGTTTTTTTTTTTCCAACAGTGACAATGTGCATCATTTACTGTGAAAAAGGTCGTCAATTATTGTCATTACATTTTTGCCATGTTGCCCACTAAATAAAGAGGGGGGGCATGCAGTACCCCAATAGAAGTGGCACCCACCTACTGTATTCACAGTGACTACCTCACTGAAGGGGCCCGTGCCTAACTTGTTCTGGGCCAGCACACTGAATTGATAGGCAGTCTTTGGCTCCAACCCCTGTACCACCAACCAGGTCTGAGAGCCGGGCACAGGGACGGAGAGCCAGTCGTGAGGACCCAAATCCGTCTTCTTCTTCCTGTTGGAAGACAGCACTCAACTCAGACAGCAGAACATCTTGTACTTGGAAATGAAAAGGAGTAGCATTCTCTCTCTCTCTCTCACATGGACACAACCTATTCTCTAATCTACAGAGCTCACCATGGGAACAGTGCTTTTAAAATTTCTCTTACTGACACAGCGCTGAGCCCGGTGCAATAATTAGGTCCTAACAAGGGCTCCTGATGTTAAATTCTACAGAGCAGCAAGAGAATACATGTAAACGTCAATATATCAAAAGTCAGACCTCTGATCTAAAGTGCCTCTTAATATACTGTCAAATAAATGTACTGTGCCTTTAACAACCACGGTGTCGTGCGTCTTGTCCCAACGCAGTTGCGTGATTTGTTTTCATGTATTTATTGCCATGCCGTTCCCCGGCAAAAGTCATACATTATTTAGGTGCACGAGAGAATGAGGCTTTACAGCGCACGGCATTGATTTAATATGTAATTCACCAGGAGTTTGTACCATCAGAGCATGACAGAACTGTAATGAAAATGATAAGTAACTGCATCACTCTACCAGAGCCAGCACTATTTTTTCAGAATACTTCTGTCTGTATATCACAACCCACTGAACATGCTAGGGAATACACTAAAGGGCAACTTATTACACCTCGTAGATGTTTGCTGCAAGGTTTTGTGTTATTTTCCACTAAAAGGAGTTCATGAGAATATCTGCAGTTAAATGAGACTAAATTAGCAAAGCTTGCTTTATTCCTATTCTGACTATAGTATTCATGCAGGTCAATGTTTAGTGACATCAGTATACAACTAAGACAAGAAATACCAACTTACATGCTATACATTAAACACTAAGGGGAGAGAGTACATACTGAAATCCTGTAAACGCTAGGGGGACCTACACAGGGCCGTACCAGACCGAAAAGGTCTGCTCAAAGCCGCCGTCGTATCCAGGTTCCCAGGAGACATTAGCTGAGGTTGTGGACGCTGAGACGTGGACGTTGGCTGGCGCATGAGGACTAGTGCCTGCAACACAGAGAACCTCTCTTACTGTCCACTCCGAAACCCGTGCAGTTCTGTTTAAGGCTCATTTCCTTAGCTTAGCTTCTGCAACCTTTCAATCAATACAGTGACAGAGTATCATAACTGCTGTAGAATGGAACCTGACTGGAAGGAGAAGGCTAATTCTAGTCAAGACTAATCAAAAGTTTGGCCACCCCAATCGATTGTATACGAATGTTCAAAAGTTTGGAATCACAATTCAAAGGTTTGGGATCATTGGGCCTCATTTACCAATATCTTCCTACGTTTTTACTTAAATTTATTTTTGAAAAAGGTTCTAAGTAAGTCTCTGTCAGATTCATGACGTGTTTTATACAGCAGAATTGTTCACACCTTTGTGCTCTTGAGTGTGTGTAGATTCTGTTCTTACCTAAGAACAAATCCCAAATAAGAAGACACTGGTGAATGGCAGAATCTAAGTAAAACCTGTTTAAGTGGGTTTTAAGAAGTATTTTCTTCTTAAAATCGGTTGGTGAATAAGGCCAGTTATTTTCAATAAAAACACTTTTTTTTTGCCAATAAGTGTATGAAACAATGCTATTACAATGTTACTACTCTATTATGAAGCTGTTAAAAATTAAACAGTGTTAGATGCCCAGAATAATGAATAGAGCTGTAGATGATTCCTTAATTTATATCAAAATTCACATCCAGAATGCCTTGTATTTTCAATGTGGTGACCATATCTCAAGTTACAGTATACATACATACATACATCATCTAAACCGCTTATCCTTCTGGGTCGCGGTGGGGTGCTGGAGCCTATCCCAGCTGTCATTGGGCGGAAGGCAGGATACACCCTGGACAGGTCGCCAGTCCATCGCAGGGAAGTTACAGTATATCAAAGCATATTTTTGTCACTGAATACGACATCTTGAAATACCTCCTGGTATCTACCTTACAGCATTTCAATATACACTGTAAAAGTTATTACTGATTAAAATACCAGCAGCTGTTAATATGACAAATGACTCTAAACTTTTGAAAGCTACTGCAAGTTTTTCATGATCTTAAAGACATTCTGATCTAAAGGCTTATACTTAAATGTTTGAGACTTGTTTCTTTCTTCTGATGCTTCTGTATGAATTTATTTCCAAAAGATTTTTTGAGAAAAGTAGTTTTTGGCCACTCCAAAGTGTATATATGTGGAACATCTTCAAGACTGTTTGAAAACTATCATGAAGCTGTTATGCCAAGCAAAGGTGCCTCAAGGTAAAGAGGAGCTATGTTTTCACTATTACTCTAATATGTGGAAGACAGTAAAAATCAGGAAAACTCTTCTATGAGTTGGTTCAGACCATTGACTAGTACTGGCAGATGCTGTATTGTTTTACACTGAGGTAGCAATTTTAACGTTAAAGAAGAAGGGCAGAATTAATGCATCTAGCAGCCAAGAGAATCTATTCATGAGTGAGAAGCTGAAAGAACAAAAACAACACTTAAATCCTGCATGTTGCCAAGAGCAGTACTTTCGAATGATTGCTGCTTAAACCTCTGTCCTTAAGCCTTTTTGTTTTTCTTACACAGAGGAGGAAAGAGTGGGAAAGTTTAACAAGAAGACTCTGAAAAAGGGGACATATATTTTGAACATAACACATCTGAACCTGTTCTAAAATTTAAATGAACAGCACCATATCAAAACAAACTTTCAAACTTTCATTACCACTCCAAAACAAGCCTTTCATACAAGCACTCAGGACAAATGTCGAACGCTTGTCAAAACAGCCACTAATTCAACAAAAATACTTTTTATTTGATGATTTTTTTCTGATTATCAGAGAGAGATAGATAAAGAGAGAGAGAGGGAGGTTTGTTAGGAAGCCACATGTAAAGTCTCTCTACGCACTTTAACGCTAGCTTTACGCACCCCATGGCTTTTACTTTACGTTAAGTTTAGTTCGAGTGCATGGAACCAAAAAACAAGGCTGATGTGCTCTAGAACTTCCGCTTCTGCTTCAGTGTGATTTGCTGCTGATAAAACAGCCAAGCTAAAGTGACTGGATGTACTACTCTAAAGCAGCCAGGAAACAGGATTAGAAAAAGGAACCAAATGATATTAAATTATATGTACACATAATGCCTTATTCACTTTTACTGTTCAAACACTGAGTTAATATGGGGCTTTGGAAGAAGATACAATTGCTAATTGAGATTTTTTTAACTTGAAAATATTGTGGTAAGTTTTTTTTTGGTTATCGCCCAGGCCTATTCTGAGCACCTGTACATGTACAAGCTTTGGAAACAGTGTAAGCTGTATGCAGTTTTCCCTATACAAACAACAACTGCATCATTTCAAAATCTGTGCAGGAATGCCTTTCTGTCCAGCCTTTTTTTCCAAGAACGACATTCTCTTTTTCCCCCGGTCACATCCAGAGAGTAACCATCTCTCTCTGTCACCTCCATCAATGTGTGCAAAAGATCTGGTGGACAGTTTGAACATGTTTAAGTGGAGGACTAAGCCAGGAGCTCCATCAGCTCTCTTATCACGGAATACCATCTGCACCAAGAGTCTTAATTACCCCTTCATTAAACACGAGCACTGGACTGTCATGAAACCAGCCTGTCATCAAACAAACAGCGCATACTAATACGAGCATATGTGAACAGAAACGTCACTTGTCATAAGAGGGCAAACCCAACAACATGACAGCTGGGATTGAGCACCCACAGGCCCCAAAGCCATTTGACACAATGACTCAATCCTGCCGCTTGGGTGCGCAGTGTAATTTCCCAACACGAACCGAAACGAGTCTCGGACCGGGCTGCGATGAAATCACAAGACTGACAGACTTCGTGACTCTCTAAAAAAGAGACTCTCAGAGTGTGATGTGCTTGCGCTGTACTGAGCCAACTACTAAAATAACACGGCACTTTGAGACCAATTTTTGGCTTCGACTGTCAGCCTTCAACTGTTTACACTGACAGTCTCCAGGCCCTGAAAACGTGCTATGGTGTTTTTGCCCAAAAGTTTTAACTCACAGTATGAGTGCATAACTTGCAGTAGTGTTTGTAAAGTGTAGGCAAAATGCTAGACGCTAGGATCACTCTACCTATTACAAAAAGTCGTGTGCTGGCAGTGATGCTCGTGACGACGTTGGTGGCGACGCACTCCCACTCTCCGTGGTCCTCTTTGCTCAGAGACACAAACTGTAAGCTGCCGCTTGGTAAGATGTTGTGCTTGCTTCTGCTGGGCTTCCCTACCTGCAAGCACACAAAACAAACCAGCACTTTAGCATCTGTGTCTTTACATAAATCATTAAAAATGATAAATACATTTGAACATTTCAAAATAATGATCAAATATTAAATATTCTGAATTTGAAGTTTGTGAATGTATAGTTCTTAATATGGAAGTGCAACACACCCACTTAAACAAAAGCAGATTTGTGAACATTGAGCAAGTTTTAATATGAAAAAATATGAAAAAATATACATTTACATTCACATGCTCAAGCACAGATGACCAAATACAGTCATACGCAAAAGTTTGGGCGCTCCTGGTCAAATGACATTTACACATCCTCTACTGAACACACTTCTGCACACTTTGTTTGCAGAATTTTACATATTGGGAAACAAAATAAAACATAAAACGTAGCCTGTGCAAATGGTTATGGTACATTTTATATTTGCTGTTTTATTTTCCAATATTCTAAACTCAGCAAATAAATAAAAAAATTGCTCTAACATTAGCAGAGAAAATGACATATTTCAGTTTGTTCTCTGTAGAGGATGTATTAATTTATTTTCATTTAGAAAATCAACAAAACATGTCATTTGACATTGTCCAAACTTTTGCATGCGAGTGTATACACAAATACCTATATGGGTACACACTCAAAAATGAATGTCCATATTTAAAATTTATTTTGTTGTCATTGTACGTTCTGTTTATTTGTCCTATTTGTCTGCAAATTAGCTTCACAAAGAAGCCCTGTATACAGTATGTCCTGCATTTTACATAAACATATTTATCTGTATTGTCACTGTCAAATAAATAGCTTTTAAAAAATAATATTATTTAACAATATTGGTATTAGAATTATATAGAAGAATACTTTAACATTACTACTCATTATTTAATGTTTACTGACTGTTACATGTTTTAATTACTACATTATGGCATTTATTACACGTACATATATTTAATATTAAAATTGTTATGATCATGTGACTCCTACAAACCAAGACAAAATTATTTTTTTTAAAAAACTGTCATTTTCTGAATATTCCTTGAAACAAAAACATCTCTAAAACTGTAATTTTAAAGGAGAAAGAAAATCCTTCTTAACTTTGTTTAATTAAGTTAAAAGTTAATTGAGCAAGGATAATCTCTATTAGTCTATTTATCACACAATTCTAACACAGTATAAGCATTTTAAAATTGTGTAAAAATATAAAAAAACATCAAAATGAAGATGCAAGGTTTTGTTATGACGGTGTGCTGGCGTACCTTTCTCCAGTTGATAGTTGGAATTTCAGGGTCTCCAGAAGCAGCACAGGGGATGACCAGCTCTCTCCCGGCCTCCTGACGGTATTCCCCCCCAGGCCTTACATTAAAGTAAGGGGGGTCCTATATGTAGGTGCACATATCAGTATCTGATTACAGTACCTAAGTTATGTGTTCTGTAATTAATCTATTTCCAGTATATTTCCAAAGACATGTACTTTTATTCCTTTGCTTAGGTAAGAGAGCACTGTGGCAGTTTTATCCAAGCTATTTGCTGCCCAGTGTAAATCAGGTGACAGTTTCATCTGGATACAATTCATTTCTATTGCTTATAGAAATTAACAGCTCATGTTTCTTTGTTTCATAGCAACAAGGTCAATAACAGTGCTTTTAAAGTAGTTTTAGTGTAAGTGTAGCCGTTAGCTTAGCTATTTTAACTCCCTCAACACTGGGCATCATGTATCAGTATAACAAAGAGTATATTAAAACAAACAAACCAGTAAGCAGTAAAACAAAGGCAGTAACAAACCTTTAGCACCAAAGTGGCTGGAGGGGATTGTCCCATGGTACCTAGGGCATTGTAAGGCACACAGGTGTAGGTGCCAAGAGAGTCTTCTGTGACCTCTGCCACCCGAATGCTTCCATCTGGCATTTGGCTCCAGCCTGGGTACTGTGAAAGACAAGATACAAGGGTATGACCTGGGAGCTTATTGCCATGCATAACATGCAAACTCAGGCCAGAATAGGTCAAAAGTCTTCAACTGACCTTCTCCACTCTTAAGGGATATCCATCTTTTTCCCATCTGACTGACGTAACGGGCGGGTTGGCATCGACAGGGCAGCGAATAATTCCTGGCAACTTCCTTGGGACGTAGATGACCGGTGGCATGTTGAGAACACGGGCAGGGTCTGCAGAAAGCACCGTCAATGAGGTTTACAACACAAGACCAATGAGGCTACAATAGCACTTTCTCTTTTCTGACACAAGCACCAATACTGCAACACTGAATATCAGCTGACACTGATACAAAACCAGTATTCCTTTCTTTAAAATTGCTAAACTTTAAAATGAGCTGTTTTCAGTCAAAGTACTTCACTTTAAGCTGCACTTTGCAAGATTTGGGGATTTGGAGACCTCTCTGGTGATAATGTGTAATTGCATGCAATGTGCGGTTGTACTTCGAATCTCTTTCCTGAGCAGATGGATCTAATGACTGAAAGCGCATTGAAAGAGTATTCAGTAAGAACTCAATTTTATTGTCCAGCTACTGTTTAAAAAACATTTTCTTTCTTTTAACTGTAGTTGTATCACTCCTGCCGTAAAGTGATGTTTCAACTAGGAAAGCAGATGTGATTAAATTTCACTATACCTCAACAAATACCCCAGGTTATTAGCCGTTATTTATCCTGTTAAAGTAAATATGAATTCAAAGCATTCAGAGGTATCAGCTCTGTAGTTTGTGTAGGTAGATACAGCTGTCACTTGTAAGTAAGCTGAATCAAACACTTGTTCAATGTATGTTTTTATTAAATTTGACAGCCTTGAATACAATATTTATTCTGCTGTGTTGCTAACTTACTATTGCTAAATGTTCTCAAAGGCACATATTTGCACCCATCTAGCCAGCAAAGTGTTTGTAGTTTAATATTGTTTACTGATCAGAGTTAAATTGGCTAGTGATGTTAGGTAGGAAGGCTGGAGTTCAGAGTAGTTTGAGAAACGTTTTGAAACATTTCTGAACTCTAACTGGATGGCATTGAACCCAACAGCGAAGTACTGCACAGAGGTGAACCATTAACCACAAGTGTCTGTACAAACTGTACTGTCTTTACTACCAGTCTCTTACAAACAGGGGGCAGCTGACTCAAGCAGGTAAAGGGACAGGAAAGGTTGGGGATGTCAGATGGGTGCCTTTATTTGATTGGAGCAGTTCATTTTGCTAATTTAAAGGCTTTAGTTTAACTTTTCAGAATCAGAGGATATCTTGATGTAATTTTGATTCCAACTGACAAAGAAGCATTACTTAAAACAGCCAGTGAATTAAGTGACTTAACTAAGTCATTAAACAGTGAATGTGATTCATTCAGAGTGGGCACCAAAGGCCAATAAACTTTTTAGCTATACCACATTTGCATCTGTAAGCAGAAGAGAAGACATTTTTATAATATGAGTTTGATTTGAGTCTTTTTTGTACAATTTTGTTTTGCAGAACAAAATTCTTTCTTCACATTTTTCCAGTAATTTGAACTGGAAGGAGCTATAGACTAATTAAGACTTGGTATTGAGGACAACTAGGTTTTTCGTTTTGCTTGACTTGGTCTCACTCATTCTCAGGCATTCAAGACCTTCAATCCTGTGCATGTGACGTTAATACATACGTACAATGTGGCAAAATCTGTCCTGAGTGTTCTGACTTATCATTATGTAATTTTAATATCATAAAGTTATTATTTCAGGCTTTACAGGATGACTCACAGCAGCGCACAGACACCATATTTTAGTGCACATTTTTCTACTGAACGCAACTTCTTTTGATTTTAACAAAAAAACAAATAAATAACAGTGCAGCTTAAAAATGATCATCTAACAGTAGGCTATGATGCTCAAACTACTCAAACACTCTCACTACCAGTGATATTTCAGGACAGATTTGTTACAGGATTTTTTGCTGATATCAGCATAATACCGATATCCATCATTGCCAACATGACATCTCTACACAAAACTGTCAGAATAAATCAGAACAAACATCACAAAATAGCCATAATGATATGCAAACAAGAGGGTTCAGATGAACTTGTAGAGCAAGTACAGCTGACAAACCCCAACATAACTTCAGCTTCACAGCTAATGTTGTAGCAGAGGTATTATTAAATTCCCTTGCTTGTGAGTGTTCTTAAGTACTGCAGCTCTGTTGGTTGTTACCTCATAAATGTTAATTACCAGTTATAATATGTCTTATTTCAATAAATCCTCTCACGATACAGATGTCATGTGAGGACTGAGGTATGTTTTGTCTCCTGGCTAATTCATTACATAGCCCGGGACACAACAACACATCAACACTATGGGAACTGCTTGCTACGTGCTATAAGCTGCATATATAGTAGAACAGGAAAACTGGTTGATTAGGAGTCTCAAACTTCCACTTTAAAGCATCAAATTTATGTGCTTCTGACATTCAAAATTCAATGACCACCTTTCAATTATTTAATTTCCAATCAAAACAGTCATTAAGTGTGAGTTATTCATTTTTCTGCATCAGGAAAAAAGTATAAATCATGTTTTTAACAGAAAATTACACAGAAGCCTCAACAACTAAATATAATATCACATTTTTCAGTATTAATGCGTCCACTCTTTGCCTTCACTACAGCTTCCATTCTTTTCAGGAGGCTTGTTTTCAGTTAAGAAATTTGAAAGAATGTTTTTCCACGCCACCAAAGTTCAGCCTTAGAAGTTGGGTGTATTTTCTGCTTCTCACGACCCAAACAGTCCCGAACATATTCAGTAATGTTGAGGTCTGGACTCTGGGGTGGTCAGTCCATTGTTCTCAGAACACAAGCTGCTTGTTTGTTTTAATTGCAAACTTTCTTCTTTTTTGTCTGTTTCCTTTTCTCAGTAATGGGTTCCTGAGAGCTACACACCATTTCAGACTCATAGTGTTAAATTCTCACAGTGGAAGGATGGACAGAAACACCTGGAGATTTTTTCAGATCTGAAGCAAGAGTGGAACTTGATTATAAGTTGGTCTCTGACTTTGCACAGTACAGTATATTTTCTATAAAAACAGAACACAAGTGTGTCACATAGCTGAGAGTACTCAGTAGCAGTAATCGTGAATCTTAAATTTTGTCCTTATGTCCATGTTTTATATCATACAGCGTCACAAGTAAGTCTATTAGAGATCACTTACTCTTGCTGGGGCCTAAGCTTCCATTAGCTAGATTAGATTAGTTTAGTTAAAAACTAAAGAAGAAAACCTGGCTGACCTAACAGTTCCTATGAACTAGATGTTTAATACTGAACAACAACCACAGAGTCCAGATATTTGCACTGTCCAAAACTAGCTGCCTTGGTGACGTTCCACAGCCGGCTGACGACAAGTGTGTAAAGGTCATGATGACTCGCACCCTGACTCCAGTGAGAGGCGCCAGCAGGGCTGAGCAAGATGTCTCACACTTGGAGCTTTATCTACTGCTCATACAGCCCCACATACAGCACAGTACAGATGGAAACAAGCCCTAGCGTACTCCACAGAGAGTCTGAAAACTAGGACAGCTCAGGCGCCAGGCACCATCTACAGCAACTCAGAGGGAGCCAAACAGCCTTGTGTCCGTACACGACAGACACCAATTACCCACGGCGACTGTATGACATAAAAACACCTTGAAGGCACAAAGGAAAACAGCGGAGCGGTGTAAGTAGGGGTGTAATGATTCAAAATACTGTTATTCAGTTTGTGTTTAGATTTGAGAGTCATGATTCACTTCGACTGTTGACTTTCTTTTCTTTGTTTTATAAAAACCCTCACATAGCCTTCCAGTTGTGTGTAGCTCACGGGAGTCAACAAAAGGCAAAAAGTGTGTACTTTACATCGCCATTCAAGCAACACTCAATAACTGCACTTTGAGCACATGACCATGTATGCAATTTTTACACCCCACATACATTATATGGCCAAAAGTATGTGGACAGCCCTCCGAATTATTGAGTTCAGGTGTTTCAGCCACACCCATTGCTAGCAGGTGTACAAAATCAAGTACATAGCCATGTAATCTCCATAGACAAACACTGGCAGTAGAGTGGGTCACACTAAAGAGCTCACTGTTATAGGATACCACATTTGCAGCAAGTCAGTTCATGAAATTTCTGCCCTACTAGATCTGTCAACTGTAAGTGCTACTATTGCGAAATGGAAGCGTCTAGGTGCAACAACTGCTCAGCCGCAAAGCGTTAGACTACACAAACTCACAGAGCTGTAAAATCGCCTAGACTCTGTTGTATCACTCACTACAGAGTTCCAAACTGCCTCTGGAAGCAACATCAGCACAAATCCTCTGTTCCCTTCATGAAATGGGTTTCTATGGCTGAGCAGCTGCACAAGAGCCTAAGATCACTATGTGCAATACTGAGTGTTGGCTACAGTGGTGAAAAGCATGCCACCACTGGACGCTGGAAAAGTGGAAATGTGTTCTCTGGAGTGATGAATCACACTTCTGTATCTGGCAGTCTGGTGGATGAATCTGGGTTGGTGGATACCAGCAGAATGCTTCCTACAGGAATGCACAGTGCCAACAGTAAAGTTTAGAAGAGGAGGGATAATGGTCTGGGGCTGTTTTTCAGGGTTTGAGTTCAGCCTCTTAGCTTCAGCGAAGGACAATGTTAATGCTACAGCAGACCAAGACATTTTGGACAATTATATGCTTTCAGCTTTGTGGCAACAGTTTGGGAAGACCCTTTCCTGTTCCAGCATGACTGTGCCCCTGTGCACAAAGCAAGGTCCATTAAAACATTGTTTGATGAGTTTGGTGCAGAGGAACTCCTGTGGCCTACACAGAGCCCTGAGCTAAACCCCACTGAACACCTTTGGGATGAAATGGAAGATGATCGTGAGCCGAGTCTACTCATCCAACATCAGTGCCTGACCTCACAAATGCGGAGTGGGCACCAACTCCCACAGACACACTCCAAAATCTTGTAGAAAGCTTTCCGAGAAGAGTGGAGGCTCTTGTAGCCGCAAAAGGTGGGCCAACTACATATTACAGCCCACGGCTTTGAAATGAGATGTCCAACAAGCTCAAATGGTTGTTAAATTTTCCTTTGTCCACACACTTTTGGCCACACAGACTATCGGGAGATGCTAGAAGGACAGGAGGCTGTACTTACACTGTACTGTCAGGTAGGCTGAGGCAGAGGGGGAGATGCCCAGGCTGTTGCTGGGGCTGCAGGTATATTTCCCAGCATCTTCGGGCTTCACACGAAAGATGATGAGGGTGCCATCGATAAGGATGCGCACTCGGAGCTTCAGATCACTGCAAAGACGCGGGAGAGAAACGTGTAAAACACACCACCAAATACCTGCTTGCACCCTAAACTGTAAAGGAATATAATGTGAAATACATGCTCAGTGCCTCAGAGCTCAGGCTCCCATCTCTGGTCCTGGAGTACCCACGGTTGTGCAAATCATAGTGTCTTCCCTGCTCTAAAACACCCACTTCAACTCAGGAAGGGTTTCATAATGAGCTAATTAGCTGGATCAGGTGTGATAGAGCAAGAAAACATCAAAATATGAAGCTCAGGGATACTTTAGGACCAGCAGAACTGGAAACTACTGCCTCAGGGTGTAAAACTAAGGTAAAGGTTCCCAATACTAGTTCTGGTGACTCCACGCTCTGCATATTTTCACTTTTTCTCTACACAGCTGACCCAGACCACACGGGGCTTGTTAATTAGTAACCGAGTTGAGTCAGGTGTGCAAGATGAGACAAAGCAAAAAATGTGCAGAGTGCGGCATAGTGTGGGGTCGGTAGGACTGGGATTGGGAACTGAACTAAAGATTAGGGCCTGACCGATATAAAACATTCATTACCATTATGATACCAATACTAAGCAGCTAAAAATTCCAATAACTGATTATGAGAGCTGATGTAATTTAACATGGTCAAAATTAGGCAGACTGCAGTAGTTTTGTTAAACACTTCTTTAGTGACTGATATGACTATCAGTTATTATTTTCAAATTTCATTGTTATTTCTCAACTGTAACATTACTTAAAGAGCAAAAACAAATTCTTAAGTAACTTAAATAAATAAAGGTAAGGTAATAATCAACTGGTGACTGTTAGTATTCTCCATACAGGCTGACACAAAAGTATGGAACTGCTCAGAACTCAGAGCTTCTATTCAATTTATAGGTATTTGTTCATCGTAACATAAAACAAGATTATGTTTGTGGTTTATTGGAGGGATTTTCATCACCACAAATTCATCTGTTGAATCTTACTACTGGCTGATTTTTTCAGCAAAATGATATATTGGTCAAGCCCTACTAGTAAGAAACAGCAGTGCAGATTCCTTTCAGTACTGGCTGCCATTTTGATTCAGAAACCCTCATGGCACAAGCAAGAAATACCATAGGACATCAAACTTTCCTAGCTGGAAGCCAAGATAAGTCTGTCAGGTTTGTTTTAATGTGCATCTTGCAGGCCCTTAGCACATGTTGCACTTTGTAGAAAGTAGTAAAACTAGCCATAGAAAATGGTTAAAAGCAACACAATTAGAGCCGAGTAATAAACCATGAGCAATTGTTAACACTTGAAGCTTGCTACGTAACATAGACATAACTGTGCCAAAAATATAATATCACATGCTATCATGTTTTGCATTTAGGTTAGTCAACATAGCTAAACAAATAACAACATATGAGTAAAACCTCTTGCACAGAAGTCACAACTGACAAAAATTCCAATAGTTGTGGCTAGTTTTGCATATTACTGATTAGATATATCTAGGGCCACACATAATGATGGAAAAAGGACAATGCTTTTATGGGCCCTACCACTAAGGGGGACCCAAGAGATTAAGCGTTGTGTTCAGAAAGCACGACACTGTGTGTGTGTGTGTGTGTGTGTATATACATATGTATATATGTATGGATGTATTTTTTCCCTCAAAGTTTAACGATTTTCAAACTGAAAATATTTGGATGCCCAAATGGGTAGCAGAGCCAAAGTAAATCAGTGTGTATACTCAGGGCTCAAATTGGGCCAGAGTGCACCATTGGTTCATGTGAACAGTCCTACCAGGTAAATGCTAATTTAAAAAGCAGGCAAAAACAGTATCAGCTTAGCATGTCACATTATGCCCATCCTAAAAAGAATGATTCTCCTGTAGCATTTTAAAGTAATTAGCAGCCTAGAATATCTTAACTAAATTGGATTGGTGTTAATTTTAATGTACTTGAAGTGTGCACTGTGACTGTTTTGTCTACAAAAATACAAATTTCAAATTGGATTTAGTATCAACAGATAGTTAGTTCTGACAACACAATCTGTTTGGTTAAGAAATGTTCTTTTTTTCAAAACAACTATATCATTCCACTGAGCACCTGTAGCTAAGTAATGACTGCTTTGCAGCTAACCGTTAGTACTTTGATCTGCAGCCTGTTTGGTCAGATTCTGAGGAAGAGTATGACAGCAGGACTACATAAAATAGAACTAAACCTGTTGCTGTCCCTAAGCAAGTTTTTTGGTCGGCACCTCTGACAGAGGAACAACTAAACAAACTTAAATTGGCCTGAAACAAGCAGAACACAATTCAGTGAACAAGATGGACAGTGAAATTCTTTACAGACTTTCTGGAACAAAATCATATTCAGGTTAATCTGGCAAGTACTGAGGTACTGAAAAAGGTGAGCAGAACCTCCTTTAACGACCTACATCTTAACCTCATGTCTTTGAGTTGAAGTAGAGGGGAAGTCAACAGAATTTTTCAGGGGCCCAGAGCATCTGGGGCTAAGACTGTTCTAATGTAAGGTGCTCCATTAGAATTAGTATTCCATGTAAGGTGTTTGGTGGCTGTGCTTTGAACTATAAGCAGCGGCACCCAATAGTAACACTACAGTCATCAGATCAGGACGTGATCAATGCATGTATGTTCCACAGCAACACTGAAGCTTCCTGAGTCTGCACTTTTGTTGAGATAAGAAGGTCTTGCTCAGCAGAAGTGGGGGTGAGGACGGGGTGGAGCAGGAGTTGAGGCACTTTGCTTTCAGCATATTATTTTAGGCTGCTGTCAGGGTGGAGGAATTAGAGGGGCAGTATTGCTCTGCTCGGGTGAGGAACAGCACCTCCTGGCTCCGCATCAGATGATCAGCATGTTTTTTTAGGCATGTGATGACACAAGCACACTGTCCCGAACTGTTCCCATTCCAGCACCAAAACCTGCTGTGTGTGCTTCTCCACACCGACGCCACACAGCTGCAGCTAGCCAGAGATTCAATTCTACGTCTACAAACGTATGCAAATCCTGAGCTAAACTCCCTCCTGAGCACTAAGGTACCATATTGCAATTATATTGCTAAATATAGCGATTGCGATATGGGCCAATGACAAATAAGGTTTGCAAAATGAGCATTACTAGCTTTTATAGTGTTAGAAATTCATTTTTAGCCAGGATAACTTTATCATGCAGAAAATATTACATATTTAAGTTATTTACGACTACTGACAATACTTATAAATCACTCTTTGCATTTGGACATCCTTATAGACATTTGTCCTTGAGTTACACTTTTTTAAACAAATAAACTATTATAAGAATAACAACTTCTCATGGTTTTCCTGGGGTCACACCACCTGACTTGGTAAACTAAACGAGCCTAACCAGGACTCAAGAGATGATGCTATTTGTGAAAGAATTACTGCTGTTGGTACTGCACCTTAAAAAGCATGTCGGAATAAAAGTCTTCTGTTGTCGGTTGTGCCATGTAATATCTGAGGAAACTAGAATTTACAGGCAAAAGCTTTTCAACAAATTCAATACTTCAAAATTTGTCCTATTTTTCCAACATGTTATGGTCTTAAGGGTTTCAAACATAAAATCACGCCAAACTCTTTTATTTACAGTTTCATATGACTCAATTTCCTTTTTGATAGTTTACTAAATATGTAAATGTGGCTGTACAGTCGTACCACCTGACGTTTTTAGATTTCAAGACGTTTTTTTTGGATGATTGTATTATACAGTGCAGCCTTAATGCACACACATAACTAGGCGGTAGCTAAAACATGGCACAGTAGTGAACTCGATCATAACTTTACTTCTTGAAGTAGACATTGTCCTCCTCCCAAAACCATGTGTAGGTCAGGTTGCCGGGGTAGGCCTCCGCTTGGCACGTGAAGAGGGCGTTCTGGGAGATGTTTACAGTGATGTTCTCAGGAGGAGCTACGATGTATGGAGGACCTGGAAGAAACAGCAAACTAGTGAGTTATTTTGAAAACATCCAAAACGACTAGTGTATATGTGTATATATATATATATATATATATGTGTGTGTTTTTCTGTATATACCTCTCCCCTTACCACAAAATATTCTTGATCAGCCAAGACATTTTTATCATCCAACCAAGTGTGCATCCTTAGTATTGCACTGAAGCCAAAACACTGTGTATGTGTGTTAGTTTAAGAGAGAAGGAAGCTGTAAACAAAGTCAAATTGAGTGGATTCATTCAGAAATGTGAGTGGACTTCTATAGTCAGTCTACCTACATTACGTTGCATGTTACCATACACCATGTGGTCAGCTGTGACATTGCTAGAATTTCTTGCATGTATGTCTGAAACTAGCATTTACTTCACAGACCAAATTAAACTACTGAGAGAGCTAATTAAGACCATATCAGCTACAAGATTTAAGCTCCATTAATATGAGTGCTAACTAGGCTATAATCCATACCCTTCATACTTCCATAATCCATGAAACTTTCTTAGCTCAAAAAAAAAAACCCCAAAAAAACTCATGATTTTGTTACATAAATATGTCACTGTTTCCACACAATAAAATTCCTCAACCTTCTGTCAGCTCAGGAGGGTGGTGGGTGTACACAGTAGTGATATCACCTCTGTCACTTACACTTACTTGATAACTTACATGTTACAACCCTGCCCGGTCTCCTTTACTCAATCAACACTGTGCAAATTGCATGGCTAAATCATCAAACACTAGACTCAAACTGTGTCCAGCTGTTAAGTAATCTTGCTTATGTGGTTTCTGACACTGTATATCACTGTATAATCCATACTTCCATCCACTTTTATAGACAACAGTATGTCATACAGTGTCAAAAAACAACAAATTCATAATGCAGTTTTGGGCAAATGTGTGAAGTTTGCACAATGCTTGTTAGTGTACAAGCTAAAAAGCAAACTTTTGGACAGAAACATGAAGGGTTTCATTTCAAAATGCGCAACAGACCATTTTCAAGAATTTTCTTTTTTTTATGATATATATTGTTGGGAACTGTCTTTACACATATAAGAGAAATAAATATGGATTTTCCATCATAAGTCAGCTATTCTTCTTTCAAAATCCATATATCCAAATTCATATAAATGGATATAGAACATGTGATATTAATCTCTTTATATCTTCACTGATCAACTATAATTAGTGTAAAAGAGACATAATGTAAATTTGATTTTTTCCTAAACCTTTCCTTTAATGTCAGTTTGCTATTGAGGTCAGTGTATCAGCAAGTTGACCAGCGTCAGTCTTTCCTCCCCACCAGAGGTCGTCACTGAAATTCCTTCTAATTGGACAAATAAGCAGCCCAGCACAATATCCTAAGCCTCAGACCAGTGATGCTTGTACACTCTATGAATGGTCACAGCACGGTCTTCGCTCATGGCATAAACAAATACAGCATTTGACTAGTCACGAAACACGGTGCTGATCTTAATGTGTGGAGGATGCCCTGAGCCTTCTAAACACTTCCTTGAAGTGCAGTAAATAACGCTGCAACCAAAGGGACTCCTGACAATACAGTGGGTTTTGCATATTAAAAAGGCTTCACAAAAGGAATCGCTTGAGCAGCCCTAAAAATATCAGACACAAGCCCCCGTGCTGTTATTGCAGAAGACTTATGCGGAGTGTCTCTCTGGAGGCTCAATGAGAATATTGCTTTTTGTAAAAACAATATTGCCAGTTTACTCAAAATCTAGGAAAACAAGCCTTAGGCCAGCAACTTGGCACGGCTCGGTCTCGTCTCCATCTGACTCTGAGGCGCTGGAGTGCGCCAAAACAGCATCTGTTCTTGCAGGTAACAATAATAATAATAACAATAATAATAATAATAACAATAATAATAATAATAATTTATCAAAATCCTGCCTTTCCCAGGCCATAGAAACAAAAGAGTAAAATATATAGCACTGAGAAAATGACGCATAAAGCTATTTATGTGGGTACTAAGCATTTACTTGTTTAAATAGCAGGATTAGGATAATTACAAATAATTACAAATAAGAAAATGAACAATACATTATGATTTGATATGTATCAGTATGTTAGCGTTACCATCCAACACCTACCGCAGCTAATCAGTCCTTCATTCAATTAAATCAGGTGCTGCTGATGGAAGTGAACAAATCCATCCAGTGACTAGACTGCACTAAAAATCAGGAACCAAACCTCCGTTCTTCTAATTATATTCTTCTACTCAATATATTAATTTTTTGAAATCCAAAAATTCTTTTTATGTTTCACTGTTTTATGTTTGTTTTTACAGTATTGCAGAGAATGTATGTATTTCTTCTAATGCTATACTGTTTTTTACTGGTAGACACACTAGACTTTAAAAAAATAGATATTTATACTGTACTGTATAAGGCATAAAGTAAAGGGAAATGGTCCAGCTCAATCAGCACATTTAGGCTAAACAAAATGAGGAGTGTAAATCCCTGATCTCACAAAAATTACATTATAAATTTTTAAATTAATGCATTATGAAATCTGATTACTTCTGTACCATTGAAAATTATTTTTAAACAACATAAATACAGGAAGTATTCACCTCACTTCCAAAAAAGTTGGGTGTTGAATCCAACTAAAAATAGAAAGCATATGTCACCCTCTATGGTGATTCAAAGAATGTGAAGAAATTTCTGTGTCTAAAGGGCATCTGAAAACTACAACTGGATTCCTGTGACTTTTGATTGCGCCAACAACACTTTGCATCAAAAACCAGCATGTTTCTGTGATTCTTCTGTGGATGTTACCACATGGGCTCAGGAAGACTCCACACAGTGCAAACCATATGTCTACAATATCCAGAAACTTAGAGACTCCTCTGAGGCGAAGCCAGGCCTGAATCATCAAGTTAGAGGCCCCTGGACACAAACATTTGGTGGTACCCTACCTGGCTACCTGTTTGTGGGAGTCAGTGATTTTTTCTTTAATATAACAGGAGGTTACATGAGACCTATGCAGCACCACTACGGCAGCACACTATCTGCTGTGTTTTTTTCCAATTGAGGTAAAACAATAGCAAAATTACTTATTACACATTAATGAGAGCACAAGCTGAACAACACAAGGACCAATGCAGCACATCTATATAAATCATGTGTCTGCTCTTGGCAAGCAAAACATTTACCTCAATGCTGTGCTGTTAGTAAAGTTCCTACTGCTCCTGGCACCGGGAGTCAAAACAGCTGTTTAGATTTTCTCATAATTGCTAGTAGAGACCCTGTAGTGCAGGGGTCGGCAACCCAAACGTTAAAAAGAGCCATTTTGTCCTTTCAACAAAAATTAAAGCACCATGGGAGCCACAACATTTTATGTTCATTTTATTCAAGTAACGTTTTACATTCTTGGCTGTAAATATGTCTCAATATGTGCTAATGTCCTAGTGTAGAATAAAAAAATATATAAACATAAATCCAGACTTACTTTGCTCTGCTTTAAGCTTTAGCCCAGCTATAGACATTTTTCTCAAATGTCCGGCAGGATACTTTTCCACAAAAGTAGAAGTTTCTTGTGAAATATCGTTCAACTTTTTACGAGGCTTTACAGTTTCTCGTTGCAGATTAAACGTATAAAGAAATCAGTTGGAGTGCTTATAAAAGCAAATAAGTCCATTCATCAGTAAAATTTTCAATGTTCATCTTAAATCTTTCTCTTTGCCTTTTCATTAGCTACCAGCTAAGCAAGACTGTTGCCTGCACTGCTGTGTGACCAGCAGTCTAAATGCTGATCTTCACGGTTAAACATGAATTAGCAGTTATACATGAACTCCGGCGTTTAAGACAATTTATTGTTAAAACTGTGTTAGAACGATCAGTAGAGCTTTATTTTACTGCAAAGAGGGATTATTTTATTGATAACAAAAATCTAATTCTGCTGCATGTGTCTCCAGAGCTGCATGTTGCTGACCCTTGCCCTAGTGGCTCGGGCCCCAGGGCATGTGCCCATAAAACCCTTTGGATGATCCGGGCCTGGTTCAAGCTCATCTGAAATGGGCAGTATTTCACAGTAGAAACGTATTGTGGTCTGACGAGTCCACCTTTCAGACTATTTATGGAAATAATGGCCGTTGTGCTCTCTGGGCCAAAGACAGAAAAGACCATCCAGATTGTTACCAGTGTAAAGTTCAATAGCCAGCATCTGTCACTGCACATCTGTACAGGCACCATTAACGCTAAAACGTACATCAATGTTGTGAGCAACACATCCTTTTTTTCAGAGATGTCCATGCTTATTTCAACATGACAATGCCAAGCCACATTTTGCATGTGTTACAACAGCATCAAAGACTGCTGGTGCTAGATGACCTGCCTGCAGTCCAGATCTGTGTCCCATTAAAAACGTAGAGCATTATGAAGCGCAAAATACGAAAATGAAGGCCTCACACAGCTGCACAGCAGAATACTTGTATAACAGAAGAATGGTTTCCCTTTCAAAACTGCACTATTTTGTGTTTTCAGTGTTGTTAAAAGGAAAGATGATGTAGTGGTAAACATCCCAACATGTTGCCATTGACACAATCTGGAATTAATGTACATGTATGTACATTACTGCTTTTTGTTGTTATAAACATTTCACATACTGTCCCAACTTTTTGGAATTGAGATTTTTACACAGTACTTGAATACAGGTAATAAAAAAGCATACCAAGCTTTTAAAGAAATATTTGCAATTAGCATGAGAATTTTATTTTAACCAAAATCAGCACTTTTATTATAATTGATCATAATCAATTGTAACATTTCCAAACAGATACAGTTGAATTGCCACCATTGACTCACAATACACTGAGGCATTTTTACACCCCTAAAATGAGCCTGCATGTGTGGCTGGGGACATGCTGTCTAACATTACTGGCCATCATAAATCTGACCACAGTGAAAGCCACAACAGGCAGGCTGATGGTGTTTGCCATGGTTGCATGTACAGAGCAGGGGTAATAAACGTTTAGGGTGCCTAAAAGATTCTGGCACCCTAAATGTATTCCTTTATTTTACTTTTATTTCACTGAATACGTCTTTTGAGGTTACAACCTCTTCCAATTACCTATGGCCTCTCTGGTCATGTCATGAATTTCCATGAAAAGAAGAAAGGGGAAAAACATGCAAAACTGCTGTGCTCCCCATAGTTTTAGGTATAATTTTATAAGTGCTATCAATTGATTAATTCTGTAAGCAGTTAAACTCAAGATGCAATTTAAAATGTAATGGGGCAAACTTTAATAATGCATTACTGAAAAATAACCGGAGCTCAGCTCTGAAATTTTGCATGGTTGAGTGTTAAATTAAATTGAATTTAATTGTTCTTTTTTTTCATCGAAATTCAGGATGTGTATGGACAGTCCCACTTGTGAAAAATGTTTGTATGATTCTAGTGTTGGCTTACAGATTGCTTATTAGACCTATCTAAGAAATACCTGGACATAGTCCAAATATTCTAATCAGCACATTTTTTTTATTATGATTATTTCTCAGTCCAGCCTGTTACGGCACTGAAGCAGAGTAGAAATGAGTAATGAGTCAGAGAGGAATGAGTAAAATGGGCTCTAAAGGCAAGTGGTCACCATGTTTTGTCCCATTGGTGTATATGGCATATGTCATGCTACTAACATGTCCCTATAAACCATTTCACAAACAATGTCAGTGTTAGTTTTGACCCAGCGCTCCACTGAGTTCAGCCAGAGACCCCCCAGTGTTAAAAAATCTCTCGTTCAACTGAGAAAACTCAGAAAACTGCGCTAGCTAATTAGGAATAGGATTTTTTTTTGTTTTTTTAGTCTTATCTAATTCAACCCCCTGGTTAAGTGGTTAAGACTGCCCCAATCACATGATGCCACCAGCACTAAGAGGGTGAGTCATCTGAAGCAACACTGCCTCTTTTTGAACACAACATCATTGGACAGCTGAATGCACTTGGAGGACAAGGCTAATCACCAGTTCTGTTATGTCAGCTAACAGACGCTTGCGCTGGCTAGCATCACACTGAGTGACAGTCAGAAGGCCAGAGAGAACAAGGCCAATCATGCTCTCTAGGACTCCTGATCTCCAGATGATATAGCCAGTGCCACTGAGTTTGACTGACTGTATCTTTAGGTCAGTGGTTTATGCGGTTTAACAAGAGTAGAGTTTTTTAATGTAACTTGGTTCTGGAGGCGTGGGCGGCACGATGGCGCAGTGGGTAGCACTGTCGCCTCACAGCAAGAATGGCCTGGGTTCGATTCCTGGCCGGGTGACCAGGGTCATTTCTGTGTGGAGTTTGCCTGTTCTCCCTGTGTCTGCGTGGGTTTCCTCCGGGTACTCCGGTTTCCTCCCACAGTCCAAAAACATGCAGTCAGGCTGATTGGACATGCTGAATTGCCCCTAGGTGGGAGTGAGTATGTGAATGTGTATGTCTGTTTGTCTGCGCTGCAATGGACTGGCGACCTGTCCAGGGTGTATCCTGCCTTTCGCCCAGCTCCAGCAACCCACCGTGACCCAGAAGGATAAGCGGTTTAGATGATGGATGGATGGATGGTTCTGGAGGCTGTGAGTTTTGCCCAGAACTAAGACTGCCCAGCTTACACTGATTTAGGAGAAATATAGTGTTTACATTCAAGAACATGATTAATCTAGTTTAAAAGAAAATACAGACTTAGGTTCCCTGGTGATTTAACCTCAAGAGACTTGCCCAGTCAAATAGAGATTAAATAAAGGAATAAAATATATTATAAAGCTGGTATGCTTATTGCCAGAAACTTCTCCAGATCTCTGTACAAATAGCACATGAAAATAAAGTAGCCTACCTTGCCCTCCTAGCTTACTGGGATAAGACATGGAATACTTGCTTGTGTGTATGTATTTCTGTATGTGTAAATGTGCGTGTAAAAGTGCATCAGTCTCTGAAAATGTTCCTGGAGTGTTTCCCCCATCTGCCCCAGTCTACTTGGGAGAATGATGAAGTGGTCATGTTTATTACCTCTTTTCTGTATGTGCAACCAGAACAACCACCATGAGCCAATGTGCTCTTTCTGAGGGGCTCAGCAGGAAGAGTTCGCAAATTTTCATGATATAAATGTACAAATTGTACAAAAATCTGAAAGGTTTGCCTCAAAACAATTTAATTCAGACTGCCATACTCTGGATTAAACTTTTCCTGTCGTACAGACAAGAGATCAAAAAAAAGAAAAATGAAATGAAATGTCCCCTTAAACTTTCATCCTTCTCACAAAAGGGCATTCCTTTACAAAACATGCTGTTCCATTTCTCCTGTGCAAAAAAGAGTGCAGGGAAAAAGATACAACTCTGTAGTATCTTGGGGTTAAATCCCTTGCTCAAGGCAATGGCGGCAGCATACCAAGCCAGAGTCCACAATGCTCCAAATATAAACTCATAAAACTAGCATCTTCTGCCTGATTCATAGAGCCAGATGCACATACAAGAGCAGGTGCAGCACAAAATGTGCCTCGATGCGCTCATAATGTATCTGAATTTACTATTTACTAACACCGAATACATGCATCAAAAAAACCTCAGTGGGAATATTAGCTCTTTTTTCATCCTTTTGTTTTCTAATTAAAGAGTTTTTAGCATGTTTAAAACTTTAACAGCATAACAACAGATCTGTTTTTTCCAAGTTTTCACCACTGTTCGTGTAAGATAACAGCCATTATAACAGTAGCCACCATAGACTGTTAGGACAGTGCAACTACTGGGCCAAAAACAATCATGACCTTTTATGGTTTTAAATATAGATAAGAATGATATACTTAGTGGGACTGTGTGATTCGACAAGATGTCAATGGAGTTTAGGCTTCACTTTTGCAAAATATTCAACGTGCAAAAAACGTGGCAGATTAGAATGACTCACGTTTTGAAAAACACACGTCTGGCAGAGCACAGGGTTTAAACTGCACAGTGAATTAATGCAGCCAACAACAAGCTAAAGACAAAACAGAAAATGAGAGTTCAGTGTTGAAGAGATAGCGGTGTTAATAAATGCAATGGATTTGGGCCTGAAATGCTCAAAAGGATTAGTAGATTGGGCTCATACTCTTTCAAAAAAACATTAACATTACATCACTTAGAAGAAACAGGTCTGATGTATGTTTTAAAGATAGAAGAGTAAAGTGGATCGAGAGTTTGGAAGTTTGGAAACTGGAAGGCCCATATCGCTGCCATCTAACTGATCAGGGCTGTGAACATGCTCTGGTGGAAGGCTCCATTAGAGTCTGAGTGACAGGCTGTGATCTATGCGCGCTGAATGGCTGTGAGGGTATTGACCGCTCTGCTTAGAGAGGGCAGACATGAAAGAAAGACATCAATGAGTCCAGACACGATGCAGACAATTACACTAATTCATGTACAGTGAAGACAAGTGGACTAACTATATCTATTGTAGTACTTCACTCAGGCTTTCAACTGTCTGTTGCTATTCTGTATGTTGGTCAAGAAAATAAAAACATCAGGCTCTTTTAACCAACAGTAAGTCAACGATTTCCCAAGATGTTAGGCAAAATAATAAATAAAAATTAAAAAATACCCTCTAAGCTATAGGAGCTGATGAATAAATATTAAACAACATAATCACCAGCAACAGGGGTGTGTTGTTTTCACAACCCTGACTATTACAGCAAGGCTTTCAGTTTGGATCATAAATGTCAAAATTTAAAAAAAAAAACCCACCTCTCTACAATAATGCTCATTTCTGCTAGTGCCCCTACTGGATTGCTTATAGTATGCTAAGCGTTACATTAATGCTGGAGCACAAGAACATATTTTGTCAATTCTAGACTAAATGCAGAGATTGGAAGCTTGTTAAAAACAATTCCAGTTTTACAGTCACTCCTTCAGTATCATTTCTCTGGCACAGAGCTGCCTGCCTACGTTCCGGACTTCCAGAAGGCCTAGAGTGACTTTTTCCTCACTAAGCTGGTCATATTCATTGAAAATCAATACATAATTGGTTGATTCCACTGTCAGTTCCTAGCTGGTAGTTAATCTAACATTTAAGGCCTTCTGCTTAGCTCCTGAAGTCCTAACCAGTGGGGGAGCTGGCTTGGCTGTATTTGCCTAGATACCAAGCAGAAACAAATACCAACTGGATCATTTTTCATTGGATGTTTCAAGATTTTAACGCTTTTGCTGCAAATAAAAACTTTGTGAAATAAGAATACTGCTGCAAAACTTGCAGAGTGTAAATAACACGCATAAAACATTATGTATATTTTTCACTCCCTTCAATATAAGAAAAAAGCTTATGAGAAAATGTCCACTTCATCCAGATTTATGAGAATTTAAGTGCTGTTTTTGGCAAAGGAAGCACGTAGTAAAAGGTGGCAATAATTGTAAAATATGCTTCTAAAAAAACTGAGATATTATAATCTGTAATTTCACCGCCATTTCTCAAAAAAAATGCCTTTTTGAAGAAAAATCCTATATACGTCAAATGTGGCCGTTCATTACTGTTATCTATGAAATTACCACAACCTACTACAGTGCAACATGCTTTTGTCCATTTTTATAGATTACCATATGTCATACAGTCTTTGAAACCACATAAGCAAGTCTATTTGAGATGACTTAACCACTTAACACAGTTTGAGGCAAGTGTGTGATGATGTAGGCATGCAGCCTGCACAATGCTAATTGTTGTCCATTACTTGTACATCAGCCTTGTGGCTCCAGTGCAAAACTGAAACAAACTTTGGACATCAAACATGTCTGACTGACCACATTTGAGATAAGTGGAACAATGCGTATCACAGAGGTGAGCCGGAGAGCGTTCCTCACCTTGCACCAGCAGGCGTGTGGTGTGAACGGCCTCTCCCTGGTCGCTGTGAGCACGGCAGCTGTACGCTCCTCTGTCCTCCCGTGCGATGGCCTGCACCGTCAGACTGCCATCACTCACCTACACACACAAACAGCCGAGACGACAGCCAGATGCATTACATCCATTATAATACCAGCAATAGCAGCCATTAGAACTGGGTGGTATCAGAATTCTTATACCATGCTTTATAGCGTTTCCCAGAATTGGGCTGTGGGATGAATTGCAGTACACAATGCAGATGGTAAGAGTGCAGATTTCAAGCACATACTTGTCATAAGGAGTAACAGATGGCATGTAATGTAAAGCCTCGGAATGAATGCAGGAAGTACAGTAAGGATGCATATTTCAGATATATCAACTTCTACGCTGAAAAATGATACTTTGAATGTGCTCGATTCAGATGCGTACATAATTTCCACATGGAGAAAGTTGATTCTGTCATTCTGTCTACTTACTTTTGACAATGTGTTGATGTAATATAACTTCCCAAGGAATATAGTGTAAAATATTACAAATGCTTGTAAAATACTAAAATGAAGTGTTACATTAAACATCTAGCAAAGACTGAACAAAAAAAAAGCAAGGAATATGATAAACTGCTGAACAGACCTGAGAACTGTCTGGGATTGGTCCTAATATTCTAATAAGCATATATGATTGACATCCCTTAGTCCAATAATCCTTACCCGCTACGCTACCACAGCAGAACTGAACCACGCAGCACAAGCAGGGAGAAATGAGCGAAACAGGCTTAACATTTTCAGGCTGGGACAGATTTAGTGGTTCTAGGGCTCTAGGCAAAATACAGGACTGGGTCCCCTTGATTATATATTTTCAAATTAGTGATACAATCATCTACACTGCAAAAAATGATATCTTAGAAAGTGAAGTCATCTTAAATCTAGTTGTTTCTTATCAAAGAGTTAAAACTAGATGTGCTGATTATTTATTTGCTTAGATTGTACATTATAGCAAAAATACGAGATTTTCTACCGTTTCTGCATAGAAGCTGCTAGGTTGCTGCACGGGGCACGCATCGATATTTATTGGACATCCTTTATACCTATATATTGTACTGCCCACAAAAGCAGGATTAACCAACCTAGAAAGATAACATGTATTTAGGTTCCTTGAAGATTTGTAAGTGTTTTATATTTTAATCAAGTAAGCAAGTAATCAGGAAAAAAGATTATTTTAAGACCAATGACATACAAACTATTATATAAGGCACAATGAAAACATCAATTCTGAATCATACACTGTTGCATGGTATTTCACACATACCCCCAAGTCTTATACAGTCATTTTTGAAAACAGTTCAAATCCACAGTGAAGGTGCTCCTCTATGCATGCTGTTCTCTGCAGGATTATGATCAGGGCACGTTTACAATGCAGGTAGTTATCTGTGTAGGAGTGTGTACATCTGCGCAAGGCTATATTAAGCACAGCAGCTATACTCTAAACTCAACAGCCAATCTCTGAGCCACTTGAGTTCATATGAAGCAAATTGCCTCATGCTGTAATGCCCTAAATCCAAGCAGAAGCATTTGGTGGGTTTTTCTATGCTTGGTCTAAGTGTTCATTTTTACATATTCATAAAGCACTGCATTCACTACATGCGTTGGAGCACAGCGTTCTGATAAAAAAAAGAGATAGAGAGAGAGAGAGAGAAAGAGAGAGACACAGAGAGATAGACAGGGAACAGTGATCCAGAGATTTATACACTGGGTTCTATCTATGCCAAAATCTAATGCCAGAAGACACTTTATCTTAACTGTTCCTGCCACACCAAATACAAGGTATGGCAAGCCTTGTTGGACTATCAGCACTTTGTCTTGTTTTTATACCTTTCTGAACAGTGTCAGCATATGGGGTCATACCTATGTCTATTATACTTTACAGTGTATATATATACTTATGTAATAAATAATAATCTGTTGTTAATAATGTTAATAATTTTCTGATCCAGATACTAAACCCAACCCTACTCTTAAGTAAAGATTACCTGATATCAACTGTGTGTTAAGCTGGCCATGACCATTGGGATACTTTTACATTCTGATTGGCTTTCCATGTGTGCACACTTCCATGCAAAGGTTTTAATTTGTCCAATGGGGAACACAGTTTTGTAAACCACCCACCATCATGATTGTTTTTAAATTATACACAACCACAATAACTAAAACCTGAAGTGTTGAAGTTAAAAGGAACACAAAATAGAAAATTAAAGTTTGTTATGCTTACTGCCCCATTGTGGACTGAAGGCTACAACACAGAAAAACTGATTTTTTTCTACTGCATTACATTACATACACCGACCGGCCATGTCATTAACTCCATCTCCTTGAGTATCTACACTCAATGCCTATTTTACAAGCTCCACTTACCATATAGGTGCACTTTGTAGTTCTACAATTACAGACTGTGGTCCATCTGTTTCTCTGCATACTTTGTTAGCTCCCTTTTAGTCTGTTCTTCGATGATCAGGACCACCACAGAGCAGTGTTAGTGTGTGTTGCAATGGTATGAGTGGATCAGACACAGCAGTGCTGCTGGTGTTTTAAACACCTCATTGTCACTGCTGGACTGAAAATAGTCCACTCACCAAAATTTTTCTTGACATTTTTGACCTGAAGTGAAGGCTTTACTCTAATAGCCACGATTCACTGGAAGTATATTGTCACTATCCAGAGAAAAACAAGTATCTCCAGAATAGTAACTTTACAGGAGAGGGCAAAAACACTCTTACCTTTCAATGTAGGTTCATGTAAAGAAATTTTATTCCAAGTGATTTTAGAGCATTTTTATTGGTCCACACATCATGAAATTTTCACACAACGTACAGGACAGCTGGTGTGTTGAAATGATATAGAAAAATAAAAATCAATAAAAATGGAGATACATGGTTTTCTTTGGACAGCGATGATATGAGAGCTTGATTGGTCCTGCTTTAAAGAAATTCCACAGATTGTTTAAAAATTCTGAATAATTTAATGGTTAAGAAGTAAAGAGTGTCATTCAGAGTGGTTTGATGTGAAATGTTGATTAGAGAGAGACTTACTGATTCTACTTTACAATTTCCTTACAGTGGTGGTGATAGGAACCAGGGCTCGCGATGTCTACAGCACAAATATAGCCCTTTTTTTTACTATCCAAAACAACAAATGAACCTACACATCTCTGAGCTTTTATATGCAACATTGATCATGGTAAATTAGTGATGAAAATATATGAAAATATATGAAAATACATATTAGGCAAAACCTTGCCTTAAAACTAGGCAGTGTGTTCGTAACCATTTCATTGAAAAACTTTTTGTCAAGGAGCTTTTAGAGGCATTAAACTCTTCAGACGTCTGGTTCCTATCACCTCCACTGTATATAATTCTGACTCTGAAATTTTCTTTATAATGGTGAATTTTACAGCGAACCCCTCGGAATGACTTTGTTTACATCTTAAACATTTTATTATGCAGACATTTAGAAAAATCTGTTAAGGACAGCAAATCATTAAACAAAAATAACTGTACTTAGTTTTTGATAGCATTTTTACAACGGCACTCTTGGTGCGATCTGTCAGTTCCAACTTCAGAAAAACTAAACATTGTGATACATATTGTTTTGAAAATGTTTTGTGTATCATGATACTTTGTGCCATATTGCCCATCCCTAATGCTCACATACACACAGCACTCCTCTTATTGCCCTGTCATCCTGGTGTCAGTGTCCGACTCATCAGACTGAAGACCCAGACAAGAGTGAGTAATAAACTCCCACAAACGCTGCTGGTGCCAAGAGCTCCATTTGAATACATGCAGCAGTGTGGCAGGAGGGAGAGCGGAAGGGTGAGAAAGGAGGCTTTCTGCACACACCGTGAGCACAGAACTCTGGGAGATTAAACAGACGGCCTTTCTGAGAGCAGACTCGTCCTTCCTGGTCTTTACGCTTACTGCTCCATCCTCACATTCCTTCTATTCTCCGCCTTCCGGCCATGGCAGCCAGGGTGTCGAGCGCACATCCACTGGCCGCTTCTCCACTTCTCTTAAAGGTGAGGTCACGACACAGCACTGTTGTGTAAATGCCTTTTACCGAAGCTGTTGTGCAGTGGGAAAGACTTTAAAAGGGAAAAGCCAGAGGCTGAGCCAGGCTTCCTCTAAGCCGAGGAACACATGAAATGCAGATGATATCTAAGACTATGTGTACATTACAGTGCTGAAGTGGCACAAATCAGATTTCTTCCTTCACAGCAAATGTTACAGATCTGAATTGTTTAGAACAGTGTGAACAGAAGAAATCTTCTGATCTTTTCAAATCAGATTTGAGTCACTTTACATGTTGTAATGTTCACATTACAAGCCCAATTGCTCAATTCAGATTTTTTGCTCAGATCCACTAACATGCATTTGTGCAGGTAGGTGACTCAAAACTGTTATTAACGTGACGGACCTGTGTCCTGAAACAAACTGCATGTATATATCGTAGTCAATAGTGTGACATGAATAAACAACATGCTTCATGAACAACAAACTAACCAACCAGCAGAACAAGCCTTCATCGTAAAGATCATTTGCTCTAAACAGCTTTTAGCTGTTCCTTATTAGAGCAAGACAAAGATGAAAAGGTGCTTTTGCATTGTTTACTGGCACTAACTTCAGGTTAGGTGCTACTGCCACATTAACACTGAATAATGGTGCGTGAGCAGTGAAAAAACCCATATGAATTCCAATCTGATCAACCTCACTGGCGTGGTGGCATGGCCATGAAATCAGACATGCATCCGATCTAGGACCACCCCAACGATAATGGTACTTTCTGCTAGTATTTATACAGGATTCAGTGCACTGAACTACAGTCCCCAGCATGCACTGCAACATAATGTGCGCTCCGACTCTCCTACCCCAACAACAGTCTATGGGGACAGCGGTTACACCTTAGTTCTACACAATTCTACACAGTTCCACACCAGTTGTATCACCAAACAACTAACTGCAGTTCAGCCAATATAAACACTTTACATTAGCTCAGCAGCTCAGAAACTGAGCCCAAGTCTTAATGAATTTGCAACATCAAAAAGATGCCAGGTGTCAAGTTTAAGCAAATAGGTAGGTTTAAAAGACAGAGCTCCTGGGGACATTAAAATTTTGAATATTTTAAGTATTTGTGTAATATTTCAAGGTCTACTACAAGAGCTTATATTTTACTGTTTACAAACTACACAAAATTGTAAATTTTCAAATATAGTTCAAAATTCAAAATATAGTTTGAATAAACAATCGTCAGTTTGGTTTATTGCAAAATGTTCATTAAAAATTAAATAAAACATAAGGTGTTCTCTGGCCCACTGATTTATTGAGATCTTTTAATAGTAGGCCCTTTTAGTAGTTGAGTTTGCCACCCCTGATCTAATGTAATGTAATGCCTTCAATCCAGCTCCTGAAGTTCTAACCAATGGGAGAGATTCCTTGGCTATTTCTATGTAGCTACCGCAGAGGAAAAAAACTTGATTGGATCATTTTCTCTTCAGCATTTCAAGAATTTAACCCTTTTGTTTCCAAGCAAAAAATGAATTAAGAGTGGTAGGTAGTAGTATATACTTTCAAAGCATGAAGATTCTATTAAATAAAAACGAACTAAAATGACTAATAAAGTTTATTTTTATTTTACAGAAATCATTAAGCCTTTTCTGAATCATTAAGCCTAAAAGGTTCCTCTTTGCAAAAAAGTAACAGGATTTCCATAATATAAGCCTTTAAGATTACTGTCATTTGGATTTTATAAAGGCCATTTCCCTCACACTTCACCACGCATGCATTGTCTTCAAAATGCAGTGTTCAGTCTAGGTAAAACTTAGGGAAAAAAAAAAAAGATTTTTGGAGGCAAATGGCAGTACTGAGTTCTTAAATTTGCACATCAGAGTAGAGGTGTTTTCACACTAATGACAGAGTTGGCTCACCTACAAACCGTAAAGGCAGAAAGGTAACTGCAGCAGAATCCAGACGTTAATTGCTGCCATTACTGCACTGGATGGAGGCTGTTTTGTCGTTTAGATGCTAACGTAACATGAATATTTATGCAGAGAGCCTGCGATGAAGCATATGTAGGAGTTCCAAAGCTTTCAACTCCATGGCCAGCTCACTGCACGGGTTGTTACGGACGTGACCTTTTGCGGGCGCTTCTCGCCGCTGCAGCAGCAGGAGAAAGGCCAAGAGAGGCTACGGGGCGGGAGGGCGCCGCTCTCTGAGAGCAAACGCAGGCCAGAACAGCAGCCAGCCTTCACTTGCTGTTCATCACACACCGGTGAGTAAGAGTGGCAGCGCGAGTAAGGCTAATGCCACTCAAAAAGCTTGCAGTGCAAATGTTAGCTACAGCCAACAGCACGCTCGGAGATGTACAACAAGAGGAACACACTAGAGGTGAGGTTTAAAGGAGCCTGAGCATTAACGCTTAGAAGCCCACTTCAGCTTTACACTCAATTTACACTGCAGAATTATTAAGAAGTGATTGCATAATTAATTAGCTAACTACCAATGAATCCCATTCATTTTTAAAATTCTACACTCTGAAAAATGATGGTTCTTCAAGTAAAGAAAATGGTTCTATATAGAACCATGAACACTCAAAGAACCCTTTGCGTGATTAAAGGTTCTTTGCACTGTGGAAGGGTTCTTTAGATTGATGGAGAATGTGCTGTAGATGGGTCTACATAGAACATTTTTTAAAAAAAGTATTCTATATAGTACCTAAAGAGTTCTGCTATTGTTTCGATGTCAAGCTTGTAACAATAGAGCAACCCTTTTGGTGCTATGTAGAACCCTTTTCTTTAATCAAGAACCTTGAGGAACCATCATCAAGTGTGTGCATAATTAAATGGTTCAGATGTAAAGTCATTCAAAGAGATTTCTAGATCTCTAGAGGTCTAGAGGACTTTGCAAAGTCAGAATTATTCACAGTGGTGGTGACAGGAACCACGTTTTAAGTGTTTAATGCCTCTAAAAGCTCCCTCACAGAAAGCTATTGATGAAATGGTTCCGAATTCACTGCTTGATCTCGGAGATGATAGTTTTGAGAAGTTTCTGGTTCATTTCTACATTCTAACATCTTTTAAAATCCATACATGGTGGTGAGGTAGTGTCATAAGGAAAAATGGTACCCAAAGAAAACGTATTTTAGCGTGCTCAACATTACCTACATCTAAAAACTCATAGAGGTTTGCTTGTGGTTTTGGATAGTAAACAAAATGGCTATATTTGCACTGTAAACATTCAGACTCCTGGTTCCTATCACTACTATTGTAAAGAAATCTGAGTCAGTAAACCTCTCTACAATCAAACTACTCTGAATGTTTACATCTCTTCAACTGAATTATGTAGAAATGTTGAAATATTGTTGGAATTCCCCTTTATTTAGTCATGTTACTAATCAGCATTGACATATTCGAGCCTGTACTTCTAATTTCTTCTGACTTTCAGCTACTTTTGACCAAATTCAAATTCCAATAAATTATCAGTTTAGAATCTGTATATTCAACAGAATGTATTCAGATGTTTCAATGAGCTACAAGTGAGAAATATGTAAATGTTTAAAACTACACTATGTAGGATTTGGGGATTTGGAGACCTCCCTGGTAGACTAATTACACACAATGTGTGGAAAAACACTTTGTAACGTGGGTTGTGCGCACTCACACTCACACCCACTCGCTGCGCACTCACACCATATTTTAGCATGTTCTTGTTTCTCCTGACTCAATAATGCTACTTAGGTATTTAAAGGTAAAAGGTGAATATAGGCAATGGCAGACATGTTTGGTCTGTAATGGTGATTTATCTACTCCCCAATGCTGGCGCTGTGATGTGCTGTAGACGATGTTCCTAGACTGCATGAATGTTCTGTCTTTTCCAACAGAGGCAGCGCAAAGTGGAAATATGCTTGTCAGTTTTTCAGACCACTTCAGCGCAACTGTGTTTTTCATCTGTCAGTGTGAGCTGTGAGGGCAGCAGTGATGAGCTATGTCTGAGGCAAACTCCTGTTAAGTCCAAAGCGTATAGACAACCGTTCCTCTATTGCAGTGATGCCCAATCCTGGTTTCTGGAGAACTAACGCGCAGTCACGAATTGTTTAGCATGTTCGTGGTCGACTAGCAACCAGAGGTCTAAAGCATTTAATGTCTCTAAAAGCTACCTCACAAATTTATTACATGAAATGAAATGGTTACAAATGAGCTGCCTGATACACTGTTTTTATGAGTTTTGAAATAAAACTTTGGTCTAAAACATTATCAACATTTCATGTGTAGGTTTACTACACTACTACTAGTTTTTATAATGAATGAAATGGCTACACTTTCGTTATAGATATTGTGTCCTCTGGTTCACCACCATGACAAAGAAATATGAGCCAGTAAGTTTCTCTGCAATTAACCATTTCACATCAAACCACTCTGAATTACTTTGTTTACATCTCAACAATTCATCCATCCATGCATCCATCATCTAAACCGCTTATCCTTCTGGGTTGCGGTGGGGTGCTGGAGCCTATCCCAGCTGTCGTTGGGCGGAAGGCAGGATACACCCTGGACAGGTCGCCAGTCCATCGCAGGGCAGGCAGACAGACACACACATTCACACACACACTCACACCTAGGGGCAATTTAGCACATCCAATTGGCCTGACTGCATGTTTTTGGGCTGTGGGAGGAAACCAGAGTACCTGGAGGAAACCCACGCAGACACGGGGAGAACAGGCAAACTCCACACAGAAACGACCCTGGTCACCCAGCCGGGAATCAAACCCAGGCCCTTCTTGCTGTGAGGCGACAGCGCTACCCACTGCGCCAACGTGCCGCCCTCAACAATTCAATTATACAGAAATATTGAAAATCTGTAGAATTCCCCCATCAATATACTCCCAGTTAGCCAGAGTAATAACATTTTGTTTCCAACAACCATTTTGTTTTTAATATTTCTACATATAAATTCACTTACCTGTCAGTCCTCTGCTCAACATGGCACAACATCAGCAGCTTCTGCTGTTTCCTGACAGTTAACATTAGCCTGCTCATAGAGATTACAAAAAGAAAGTTTGCAAAAAAGAGCACTTAGTTACCGTGTATTTTTTGTTGCTGGTCAGCTGCTCCCCCTCCCGGAGCCACGTGACCACAGGTTTGGGGTTCCCGAAGGCGGTGCAACTCAGAGTGATGCTGCCCCCCTCCCTCGCCTCCACGTACTGCGGCGGCGTATCCGTGAATGTGGGGGGCGCTGTGAGAGAAACAAAAACACACAGGATCAGATCAGAGTCCGGTACACCACAGACCAGTGCTGTAACTAGGATTTTACAGGCCCCAGTGCAAAAACAATTAATGCCCCTCTCACCATACAAAAATCACTTTCAATAAAAAAATGACAGTGTAATTTGCATGTTCATTTGGTATTACTGTTATGTCTCAAATAAGTTGATGCTAGCAAGGCATCCTTCTCCATCCAAAAGAATCTAATGTATTTAGTTTGTTATAGAACATTAGCATAAATACAAATAAACACAAATACAGTAAAATTAGTGTTGTTTGGTAGTGAAGTGATTTATTATGTAGGTTAGATGAACACAGAAAAATACTGGTCTGGTTCATGACTTCTCACTGTACTTTATTTGTTTTAGTTCATCAGCAGCACCTGATTTAATTTACTGAAGGACAGATTAGATAAACTAGGTATTGGATGTTAACTGTAAATCAGAGAGATTTATAAAATGATTTGGCTAACACATCAAATCACTATAGATTTTTTATTTGTTTGTATTTATTCTAATGTTAGTGTTTCTGGAAAAAAATAAACACTTACTGCCTATATAAATAACTTCACATATCATTTTTCTAAGATGCCTGTTTGTTTAGAATAAGAAGTGATTCCAGACTTAAAATGCGGATCATGTGACGCTAATTAGTCTATAAATAGTGAACATAATCAGCTCAGTCACTTAAACATTCCAGTGTAAATAATCCTCCATTCCATATGGTTTTTCAAATACTTGGACATGTGAAGTTAAAGCTCAGCAATACCTTCAATCCTTTAAATGTAACAGCATGTTTGTACATATGATGCAACATCTGTGTTCCCTAGGTAAACTGATTTAATACCATTTATTAGGTATATACCCTGTACATACTTTAAGAAGATCGATTGGCTGAGAGATAAGGGGGCAGGGGGTGGGGGAGGGTTATTTCACATAATAATGGATGTAGCTCCTCTGGTTTAGTCACCTTTTGTGCTACTGGTCTGGACAGTCCATTTGACATGTCAGGCTACCAGCCGGACAGTCTCCCGGTACTCCCAATGGGCAGTAAAAAAAAAAAATTGGAGGCCTGTTACTGTGGGCCCCCCTTTGCAGTGGGCCCCAGTGCGACAGCCCACCTTGCCCGTCCTGTAGTTACGCTGCTGCCACAGTCTGGCTACTTTATACAACTTCCTGAATATTCTGCAGCTACACTTTTCAACAGTCTGCTTTTGACCATAGATCTGCTCTTGGCTGAATACTCAAGCAACATCTTTAGCAACATCACTGTGTTTAATACACTTCTACACTGCTGTGTCTGATCCACTTGTACCAGCGCAACACACACTAACACAGCACCACCTCATCAGTATCACTCCAGTGCTGAGAATGAACCTCCCCAAATAATATCTGCTCTGTGGTGGTCCTGTGGGGGTTGTGACCATTGAAGAACAGGGTAAAAGGGGGCAAACAAAGTATACATGTGATAGTGGGGAAGCAGGCTCTACAGTTTTCAAAATAATTCTGTAAGTGTGCGAGTTTGTACTGTAGTTTAGTGACAAATCAGCCTACACTTCCATCTCCATAGTAACGCAAGTTTTTATATAAAGACCTACATATAGAACGTAGCAGAGCTATCTTAGTCTATATATAATCAGGTACATGCATGTGTATTTTCCATGTGTTAGGAGTAATACAAGACAGACTGCCCTGCAATATGTGCAATACATATGTTTGGAGAAATGTTTTCCAAAGCATTTGGGTCACAGTCAGCCTATGGGACTTCTGCCATCACCTGAAATGGATCACACACCTGGTGCAAAACAAACAAAACAAGCAATTAATACCTCAGAACATCTGTCCATCCGTGCTTACGTGGTGCTTTTTTTCATCCACGCAGAGTGTGAGCTCACTCTCCCACTGTCAACGTTAAACACATACTCTAAAAACACAAGCTTGCTTTCATTTACTGAAGATATACAAGAGATCTACTGTCTTCACTCTTCAGTAAATCAAACTACCATAACAAAACATGTATCTCTATGTACAGCAGAAGGAAAAAACTTTCTTAACGTTTAATATAAGTAAATATAACACCTTGTCCTAACAGCAAGCATCCATCAAAACCAAAACGCTTCCAAAAACAGGTGGGGAGAAACTAATCTGCAAATGAAGAGAACAGAGCTGTATATCCCTTCTTCTAATTTTTAAAAGGATATTAACAGAAATGAGAGCTTGTAAGGGAAATGTTCCAATAATACCAATGATTATGTTGCTGTTATCTGTTATAAACTACTGATATTGCTTTTATATGTGTTAAACAAATGTCAAATGTCAAACTACTAATCGCATTAGTTTGTGTAGGTATTCACTTTTTTTTTTTGCTCAATTTGTCCTTAAACAAAGAGTTTTTTCCATTAAAAAAGCAGTGCATTTTGTTATAACTAAATGAACGGACAAAATAAGCTTCATCACAATGTATTTATTACTTTCAAAAACTTCACCTGAACATAAAATTATGTGAACGCAGGATAAACAGAATGAATGCAATTTCCAATGTTAATCACTAATGTCTGGTAGAGGAACAGAGGCTGCATGTTCCAACTGCTCCACAGTTGTAGTCCCTGGCTCTCATACTTCTACATTACATCTTGTTTCAAGGAGAACAGGAGCTTTCCACTTTGCTGTTGCTTTTGTTAGTTTGTGGGTAGTTGTTTTATCCATAGCTCTCCTGTGGCCACTCTCCAGCGTAGTCTGCCCAAGGCATCCTCTGCCAAAGCCATCCAACATTACTGATATCACTCATCACTTGACTTGACACATTTTAATAATAAACAAATTCACAGCATGGCAGTAGCTGGACACAACTATCAAGAGAGCCATCCATGGAAACTGCCATTTAGAAGCTGTATTTAAATAAGTGGGCTACAGTAGAGTTATATTCTGCGTTCATTAAAACTTGGAGTTCGGAATTTTCCAACTCGGAATCTTCTCTTCAGGATGCTTGCAGTAAGCTAGTGCTTGGCTGCTGTGTGTATAAAAAGCTCTTAAAAGCATTTACAGCTGAATTAAAGTGTTGTTTGGTTAGCGCTTCGCATGGATGTGGGCTGCGGCAATTCACCATTAATATAGTGTCTAAAAATGACACAACAGCATGCAGTTTGATCAAAAAGCTTGCACACTTAGCTTTACAACTATTTATGTATCTCCAAGTGCTTATCAATATTATACTGAAATAGCACATCTCATAAAATTAGAAACTCTAAAGTCTTAAAACACGCTATTACTTCTTGTTCTTTGGGCACTGCCATGTTGAAATGACGCCCTGGATCAGCAACTCGGAGAAGTCGGCGCTCTTGATAAACTCTGCCTTTCAGAGGGGAAGGAATACAAGTTTGTGGGATGTTCCAACAGATTTTCCCTGCTTGAATTCAGAAACTTCCCGGTTCCCACTTAGTCATGAATGCAGCAATAGCGCAAGAGCAGCTGGGCTTTAGGCTGGAACTATGAATGGTTCAAACTAGGAGTGGGCGATATGGCAAAATATTATATCACGATGCTTCAAGATATCTTTACATGCAAAATATACTAAACTAATGTAATAATAAACCTATAACTAAAATCATTCAATCGTTCTATGTTTTACAAACTGCACTGCACTAAATCCAATTAAACAGGCCTTATTATGCTCACTTTGTAATGAACCATGCAGTTGGTCAGTGTTCTTTAAGTACTGAGGATTGACAAGGAAATACATTAACACAAAACTGCGTTTTTAATAATTTACTGCATTATTACTTTATTAACGCTTTGACACCACAAGTGAAAGATGAACGTAAAATTTTCTAGTCTAAAAAATGGATTTTCACTTAAAACATGCGCCCAATTTGTAGCTAAAGCCAATTTGTTCCTAAAGGTTTTCCAACACAAATGCTCACTTCCTGTTAGGAAAACGTGTGAGATTTTATCCCAAGCCATTGTGGATCATTTCTCTTAATCAATTCCTCATGAAATGTTCAAACAGTGTGGAGGACATTTGTTTTCAAATGGAGCAAAACAACAGAAAAAATAAAAAATACAAGGTTTTGATATGACAGTGATAACCCTTGTGACAGTGAATTCTGAAAAGCAATGATCTTCATCCTTAAAATCTTTGGAGCTCCTCATCACACACTTGCCCTACTTTCACTCGTTCCTCTCGCTCTCTGTTTTGAAGCTCTGAGCGGGGCTGGTACAGAAGAGACGGAGAGCAGACATATTTCAGCCTGCTCCTCTACGGAGCCCTGTCCATGTGAACAGATGGTCTGGATGGAGCTCAGTGAGTGAACTCACAGCATTGCTCCTTCTTTCTCCAGTCCACTCCGTTCCAAGAGCTGATTCCTGACTCACCCTTCATTCTCGGAATGCTCCATTCACTGGTGTTTGACATCAGCGAAGCAAACTAGGACATGAATAGGTAAGTTCTAGATAACACGGCAGTGAAGGAACAGCCCAGACAATGCAGTGTTCTGATGTCATCCATGGAAAAGTTGGAAGTTACAGTTATTATTCTCAGAATTGTGCTGTAAAATGATATTCTTTAATTCTCATTCATAGCTTAAACTGCAGATAAATTATGATTTAAATGCAGATTAAAAACTTTCAAGCAATCCTGTGTCTGTAGACTGCCCTTCAATTATTTAATATCCGGTCAAAACAGCCTGAATAAGTACAAATAATCCTATTAATTTTTCAGGAGATATTTCTGAGGAGCTCAGATTGAAGATAATCCACTGGCATAAGGAAGGGGAAAGTCAAAGAAAAATAAAAGGAAAGAAAAGGCATTTCCAAAACTGGAGTAAAAAAAATGACTGAAAAATAGGAAAGACAAATCAAAAAAGAGAACTCCTTAATATCTTTGTAGTGTGTCCTAGACAACAATAAGATCAGATAGAAAGACAAAGAATGTTTTCTCACGTCTCCTCTTGAGTTTCAGTACATATTGTGCTCA